AAGCTTAACCTGATGTTTTATCCAATGGGCTTCATCTATATGGTGATGTCATGGATAAAGCTCATTGGATGAAACATGACCTTGATAACATATATCAAGGTCAAGGTCATCGGGGCTGGCTCCCCTCATCGGCATATTTACCAATTCTTTTTCATTTCTTTTTATTTCATTTATTCTTAGAATCGTATATATATATTTTTTAATCGGGGAGAAAATTTGTTCTAAGAATTTACTAAAAATGTGTGATAGTCGTGAAATATTATACATTATATTTCGAAGAATTTTATGTAAATTTGTCTCATTCAATAAAATATACATATAAGTTTGATTAATTTTACTATAAAGTACATGGTAGAAATTTTTTAAATATTGTATTGTACCACAATATCATTATACATATTTTCATAGTTAATAAGAAAAAATTATTTTCGTATATATATGTTTATTACTTGATGTAATAATCAATATTAAGTTTACTATCAATTTTGATAATTTAGGACAATTTGTCACTTACTACATTTTTGAATATTTTTAACAATTTAACTTTTTATTATGTTAATAATAAACCCTTAACACAACATAACTTCCAAAATATTATAAAAACGTGCGGCACGTCTAGAAAATCGTTATTTTTCCATTAATCTCATATAAATTTGAATATTTTTATCGAATTGTTGTTGAATACGTGAGAATAATTTTGCAATATAAATTTTCAAAATAAACTTTACGCGCGTGTGCATTATTAACCGCGACATTGGAGTAAATTGAAAATTATAGTTGCTCACTTGACGGCATTAACCACAAAATTAGTTAGTTTTTTATCTGTGGTCAGTGAACAAAGGGTTCTCATCGCGGTTTTATGAGACACTGTACCTTTCATTATCGTCAGACAACGCTGGCACGTTCCCAAGAATCAGCCTCGAGCTTGGTGTTCAATCGGATAACCAGCTAATACCGAGGTTTACATTTTTTTACGTCAATGAATAGGATAGTAATCTTTGTAGCGGGTTCATTCACCGCAATCTCCTCACAATCGCGGTTCCTTCGCATACCGAACTATACCGAGGTACATATACGTATACGACATACGTGTATACATATAAGAGATTACAATGCATTTAGGTATATAGCGCAAGTCACTGCGGCTTTCTCGGAGATTCTTATGCATACAAATATCGGAACAATATCTAAAACTAGCACTTTTTGTATAGAACAAAAACGGAACTCTATTTATATTTTATGTTTATTCATATAACTTTGAAGCAATATTAACATACATTTTTGCATAATGTATTATAATATTTTACAAGAAATTAAAAAAATTAATTTAATGAGTATGTGAACACTCTTGAGTTAACTTAAAGTATAAATAATCACGCTCGTTAATCGCGCGTGTTTTAATAACGCATACATATAGTAAGTATATGACTTATTAGGTATAATATATTACTTATTAGGTATAATATTTATAAAAAGTCTAATTCGTTGATCCAGTAATTAACATAATTTGAGTTTTGACCTGTTTTTCCACGAAAGTAGTCTAGCTTGTTTATATTCCTGGTGAATTCTAACGAAGCTCGAGCGCGCATTAAAAGAAATCGACGGCAAAACTTTAATATTATTATGTTACAGCGGCATGACAGCACGCTAAATTAACGATGACGGCTTAAATGCTTTCCGAGGCCTTAATCTAAATTTGTGAAAATTTCTCTCTTGTCGCTTGTAAATTACAAACAACGAGACGAGCCGTGTCAAATCTTTGTCGTACTATAATAATTGGCATTATAAATGCCATATTTCTCCGCTTCGCTGTTAAGAATTAAAAACTTTAATTTTATATATATACATATTTGATATATTATATATATATATATATATATAATAATCAGTTACTTTTCATGGTAATATATTATTATTAGATAAAAAAGTTTAAATTTTTGTGGATCTTTTTTTGAACATGGCTTGACCTTTTCATTTTTATGATATGATTCTTTTAGGATATCACTTACTTATTAGAATACAGATATATCACAAATATATATAAAAAAAAATTATATAACGAAAGAGAGTGAAATTTGGTGAAAGAGAAGAGTGGTGGGGGTGGGTGGTGGGAGAGGGGAAAAGGGGGAATGGGATATGGTAGGTCAAAGTTGGTGGAGGTGTGAGTGAAAGGTGAGAGAGGAGAGAGGTGCACATGACGGCGGACAGAGACGAAGAAGAAGAAGAAGGAGATGTTACTTCATTTTTCATGAAAATCATCATTTTTCGACCGCTTGTATGTCCAGAACGACTTTAAATTTTTTTAGCTCAAATTACTCGTGGCGATGCCGCCTTTCAGAATTATTACGTGCGATTCATAATTTTTTGTATTTTAGTAGTTATGTACCCCCCAAAAATGGACTTTGGTCGCTCGTGATAAGAGACTTGTAGTGTCTATTATTAATTTTTTAAATTTAAATTAACTATAGTAGTTTTTTGAACATGACCGGAGACACTACCGCGTTTCCTGATATACTATTTTGTCATACTCATTACAATGGAATAAATTTGCCATAACTACAAATATTATTTCATTTGCAAAAATTTTTAATAATAATTAAAAATACATTAATATATTTAGTAGATATACAATACAATCCAAATACGATTCAAAAAATCTCTATACTCTCATTTATTCCAACTTTAATTTTATATTCCTACTGCTATACTTCTGAATATCTTTTTAAATAAGGCCGAATAATCGTTGAGAGATCGAGCATTACGTTAGTGATACCCCTATCTTTGTAAGAAACGTGAAACATCTGCTATGCAATCGAGCAAAAGCGTTTTGCAAAGATGATTGCGGTTAACCGTAATATGTCCACAATAATTACGCTCGATTGCAAGGTGCCGACAGTTTGCTTAAAAAAAAAAAAAAAAGATCGATTTCTCACGTGTATTCACGAAAATTATATGGTCCGCGATTCACGTGCAAATTGCTCTTACTATTACGTGACGCACGTGCGTAAGATGGAATACGATAAAAAAGCGGTTCTGTTTTTGCACAACGAAAATCAAATTTATTATGAACTATAATATATTATGAAGATCTATTTTTTACAACTTATTAATCATTAATAATGTCAAAATTAAAAAATCATTTTTTGAGTAGTTTCTTTTCTCGGTATGATATAGTTTAAATCAGGTTTACTCAACAGTTTACAGTCGAGTAATTAATGAAATTCGAATTTTAATTATACAATATTTTGCTGCAGATATGGCATGAATCAGAGTAATAGATGCTGGATAGTATCATGTATAACTGTATATATCATATATTTTCACGCACGGAACTCTTGTCGGATATATTGTATTTTGCAATGAATTATCCACATAAATCCAAATGAAAATAACTTTGTTTAGACATAGTTGTTTAGACATAGTTTGAACGACAAGTTTATGTGAGAAATTAATTCCATAAAATACATTTTACATGTAAGTGATAGATTCGAATCAAGCGCGATCCTCAAATCGAAAGTTCAAACAAGACGTTTTCAAGTACACATCATTAATATGTAGATTATTATGTAAGTGTAATAGAAATCGGTAATTAACTGAGTTTTTAATGTTGACATTTTCGCTAAAAATACTAATTGACTTTTAAATATTTATGATGAACGAATTAGTGGCAGTTTATAATCTCGGATTCAGAAAAATTTTATCTTAATTTCAGTGTTCGATTCTAAGAAAATATTCTATTGTATTTAAATTTAATATTGTTGAAAAAATGTACTCTCTCTCCAATAAGTGTCCATAAATTCGTATATACATATGTATATCCGAATAAAAGCAACAATTAATAGATACAAAGATGTTTTTACGAAGGGGAAAAGAAGTATTTGTTTATCATATGTTGGAGTGCATATACCGTGATCCAGGTCATTGCATGCTCCACCCTGACAGTAGACCGTGAATCGCCATTATTAATAATCGATAAACCAATTACAATGTTATCAGATTACCGCTAAATCTACAGGTCGGCTAAAAGACGACTACGTTCCCTAGCTATAATCTGATATAGAAGTACCCGCGAGGTACTTTTGCGTGAGCATACCGATGCTTTATTTACTACAATACTTTTAGCCAGTACTGCAGTAAGTAGCGTCCTTGCAATACTAATTAGCCTGTTGTCCAATCAGAGAGATGCGCTTTGTACCTGGATTCTATCGATTTCCGTGCGTTCTATAAGTTTCAGCTTCACAGAGCCGAAACGTTGAAATTCTTGCCAATATATTGTATACAATTTTATTTATAGATTAAATTAGAACTAAGTATTGATTGTATAATTACTTTAATTACTATAATTTTCAACTTTTTTTGCTCGTATCAGTCGTTTACTTAATGGTTTGTTTTTAAAATTGTTCGAGTGTTGATATTATTATTATTTTTAAAAAATAAAAATTTAAAAATACTGTTAAACCAGTTAATACTATTACACTACGAAAAATACATGCTACGGATATCACATCGCTGTAAACGCATTTAATGTACTGAAAACTATCCCAAGCCAAAAGTATCTACTTTTATATATATTTATATCTAGTTGGATGTTTTGTGTCATAAAATACTTTAGCTATAATTTGTTTCAATACCTTTATGTAAAAAGATGAATCCTATTTTGCACTATATATGCATTAATTTTACTTTTCCTCTCTCATATGCAAATACGTGCGTGCGTGCTATTCACGTACCTACTCAACGTGCATATCTAATAAAGTTACATATCAAAATATTTAAATTAATCAGAATATTATAAAAATAATATATTTACACACACACACACACGCACACACACACAATTTAAAAATCAGAACAATGATTTTATTGTATATATCAAATACTATCGATAGTATAAGCAATAAATAAACACGTCATATTACATACTCTTATATTTAATATTTCTATGTAATAAAATATAAGGTACCTACATATATCATTAAATGTAATATTTTTCTTTCCAGGTTGCTGGGACTCGTAATATTTATTATATCAGCACACGTGCATGATTCTCTCGCAAAACATGTAAGTCTATTTATATAATAATAAATAAATCTATTTATATATAAAATATATAATACTTATGTTATAAAAACACCACGAGAGTTATCTTGAAGACCAGAATAAAGTCACGACAAGGGTCTCAACACGTCTTGACGAAATTCTCTCAGGTTTTATTGCCCTCTCTTGATGATGGTTTAGGTTTCAAGGCCTCCCGGTCTCTCACACAGATTATCTTGGTACATTTTGTTCCTAGGAAACCCAAGACAATAGGGAACATGAAGATTCCGTAAACCATTTCGACATAACCAATAATTATGGATGGCCTTCGGACTTAACCGTAACCCATATTACTCTTTCTAAACTCATTGATTAACTATTTTATTATCTATTAGGATAATTTCTCTCTCTCTCTTTATAAATAATATTTTAGAAAGTATTATATGTATATAAATGTTCTTTTATATATAATAAAAATTTTATAATATAAAAAACCTAATATAGAAAAAAGCATTATCTATAAAATGGATGTATATTTTTCTCTTTTTAGTTTACGAATTATAAATAAAACATTGATTTTAATGCGCTATAATTCCTACTAACTGTTGCTATACTAAAATATGTTTATTATTATATAATATTTTTTTAACAACTCATATTTCTCGTTATAGCTACGATATCAATTATATTTATTTATTTATTTATTTCTGACACTTCTTTCTTTTGTATGTACGTCAAATTATGAAAGAGACATTTTAAACGAAGAATTCATATCATTACGTCATTATAGTTTACACTTATTTAATGATATACGAAATGACAGAAGAATATATCTTCAAGATCATAGCAGTTAGACCAAAATCAGACACCCATTGATAATTAAGATTGAAGATTGACGATTGAAATTTAATCAATGAGGATAAAGGAATTTTAGCTCCTGTTGATTTGATTGGTTAAATTTCAATGTTCCAATCTTCGATCTCAGCCTTCAATGAGTAGTCTGATTTCGACCTTAAGTCTGCTCTACAATAAGTTGCAAACATCCCGTTGCCAATCGTAATACTTTGCGATAGTCAATCACAAACATGACTAATTACAATTAACGTTTCTAATTGGCTGTTGCGAGGTGTATTGCGACTGGCGACGATGATTGCAACTTATTGCAGATCAGGCTTTACACTTGCTGCTTCTTTACTCATGTATATCTTCCTCTTCACTTTTCGTAATAATTCATCAGAAAAATAATTATGATACGCATATGAATCTTTAATTTTTGTTACATTATTGAAGCTCTATCAACAAACTCGCAGAAAAATTGCTATTATAGTAGACCTATCATATCATTATTTGTGTCGGACGTGAGGTCAGACAGCAACGATATATATGACAATTATTAAAAAGGAGGCGTGTTGAGTTCGACGTTCATGGTTCATCGACTGACCTCTCGCATCGAGAGAAAGAGAGAGAGAGAGAGAGAGAGAGAGAGAGAGGCCCATTTCTCCGAACCATTTAATTAACTCTTCACCACGCAATCTCACGGAACATTCTACGATCGTCAAATTTCATGACCGCTACGTTTCGATCTCAATAACAGCAACCTTTAAAACTAATTGTCTGCAAACATAATATGCATTATACGAAACAATACTCAATAATTTATGTTACAGATTAATCTAAAATAAATCTGATTGTATGTATCATATATAGTACTTGTAGAGATAAATAAAAAATGTGTGTGATTGTTATTTTGATTAATTATTTTTTATATTTCATTACTGTTTTATTTACGCGTTTTAGCGTGATTACGTCATAATTGACGCAACTTAGTTTATTTTAGTAATCTGACAGAAAGATAAAATCAAAATTTAATAAAATTTAGAAATTTGATATAAGTAAGAGAATATAGTATTATATATTATTTGGAAAAGATTAGAGACTTACGAAATAATTTTCTTTACTGTTTACTTAGTGATGTATCTGAGCACTTAGCGCGAAATGTTTCCTTCGCACTTACGTTCTCACGGCAGACCACATCTTTTTCGCGACCCCATCTGTGACCTCGTGATACCTATATACTCTCTCGATGCACGATGCAGCATGGAACAAGGAAACGCGAGTACAACATAATAAATGTATTTCTCCTGAACTTGTTTCAGTATCACATAAAATTGAGGCACGGAAGGCATCGCCGACAACATGGCGAAAGTTATCTGCCTAGCAGCTTTATATCAGATCCAGATGAGCCTGAGAGAGGCAATTGGGGACCATGGTCGACACCCAGTTCCTGTTCGCGTTCCTGCGGTGGCGGAATTGCCTATCAAACTAGACAATGTCTCGATATCGAGTAAGTTATTATACTTGTCAATCTTTTACACATTTATTGTCTATCTGCTACCACTCATTGTCAGTTTATATTAGAACACCGCACGCTCGTCCTGATAAGTGATGTTGAGAGTAATGTTCAAATAAGATGTGTTGTGTGTATAGAGACAAACTTGGCATGTACGAGAAAAACGAATACCTTAATACTCTCTTCGGTAGCCACACCGTATACCACAGATTTCCGTGATTTCCAGCAATATCCTCTAAAATAATTAATCAAGGTTTTTAAATTGCATAAGAAATAATAATTTCCAAATATTGAATAGTTTCAAGCTTCGGCTTCTGCGTACATCTATAAAAATTGGTCGGTGCTCAATGTGTTAATGTTTATATTGTAGAATTATTGTAGAAAATGGAAATAATAGTGCTGCATTTCTTGTGGATGTGAGACATTGCAAACTGTTAATTTTTTATAATTTTTGTGACATTTTCTATTGTAAGAAATTCTTATCTGTGCAATGTAGAAAATTTTAACAAGCAAATATAAATTCTTCTATAATTCTAACTAGATATGTACATACAATATTGTAAAAAAAATTATCTATTGTATATTATGCTTTATAATTGCGTTCACTTGAATTCATAAAGCATATGAAAAAATTTTCGAGGCTACTTTAAAATTTTTTCTTCGTTAAATGTATCCAAAAGCCATTTCGTCTGGTTGAGTTCCTCGCTACCTTTAGAATTTGCTACAATAGTGTGCTCAATCGAAATTGGATTAAAAGCGGATAAAACAAACTTGCAAAAAATTTAATCAAATCTCGATGTAATATTGTACCTGTGTGTGTGTGTGTGTGTGTGTGTGTGTGTGTGCAAGCAACAAATTAAATAAATTGCTCAAATAAATATATATCTTGTATATAATTTACAAATTTTAATAGCTATGTAAATAATGTAAAAAATTCGTGTTGAAAAAGTTTAATAGTATTTCTTAATAAACTGAATGGGTTGGATTAGGTTATATTTAACAGTTGTGGAGCCCCCCCCGCAGAGGGGGCGGAACCCACTGCATTTATGCATACACTTTATAATCTACGAAGAATATCAAGGTCAGTCATGGTAGAAGTTTCCCATTTTCTAAATATTTACCGGAAAGACATATTATTGCATTATACGAAATTAGACTTTTAAGTCTAAATATCTCAGAAACTATAATATAATAAAAGAGACCGCCGCCTAGTTGTTAAGGCAAAGTTACTCAGAATCATGACCTTGACAACATATGTCAAGGACAAGGTCATCGGTGAGGTGTCCTCTAATCTGTATAATTACCAAAAATTTTTTTGTTGGAACGTTATAATTAGAAACTTTATTTAAATAAAATGCAATAAAAATCAAATATTGTATATGTATGTATAATAATATACACAAAAAAATGTCAACCAAATTTTTTTACGGTACGTTCGTACGTCAACCGCGATTAAATTTTGTATAAATCAACAAAACTTTTCTCCTAGCACACTTCAACGTAACAGATCCTCCGTAAATCCTTCTTATCTCGAAACTAAGAGAAGATTAATCGTAGACGCTTACTCGTCTCTCGACGTCACGCTATCTCCGGGAAATTCTCACAATTTCCCCTCGCAAAGACGAAGCACAATTAAAATTGATTTTAACATGCCGTGATTACGTAAAGTAGGAAATCGGAAGAGTAAAAGATCGATAATTGACATTCTGTTAATGTCGATTGGAACATCGCTAATGATATAGTATGAATCTTAGAAAGAGATAAGATAATGTGCGAGATGAGATAATGTGAAGGCGCGTAATGCGCGCATCGCATTAGACTCCTCACATTAAATGTACTGTGTTACATTGGTGAATGTATCGGCTACGATTTAATTACGAAGAAAGAAACTGCATTATTTTCACAGTAATATTGCATGATGTATATTTTCTATTTCTATAATTAATATATACAATAATTTCAATCCATTAGAAATTGCGAATTAATGAATGAAGGAAACGTTTTTGTTATAGTATAATTATCTTTTATATATAATTTTTTTAAATATTTCATATTCACACACACATTAAACGTGAGTTAAAAAAGTATTTTCATAAATAATATAATATTACTATTGTGTATCAAGAGTATTTGAATTGTAATAAATTATAATAAAACACACTGAAAATGCATATAATCACGTACGTACGTAAACTTTATGTATGTTAAAAAAGCACTATAGTAATGCTGTGAATCGTAACTACGTAAATTTTGAAATTTCGCTCTCAAAATTTTATCAAGCAAAAAAATATCTACTTTAGTAAGAAAAATTTTTAATGTTAGATTTTCGTACAAAATAAGTAAACACTTATCAAAATACTCCGGAAATAAAACGATAATCTTCGAATATTGTTCTTAATTTTATCTCAGGAAACTTGACACTCATGCAAAATATTAATACAAGTCACTGTCGGTCATTTTTCATGTTTTTCCATACAGATTTTGTAACACACATGTTTTTTAACTAGGAGAGATAGAAAGATTTGTTTACATCTCTTTTCTTTCTTTCGTAAAAAAACTTTTAAAGAGATAAATTTCAATATGATAGAGAATTTCTACTATCATAACTTATTTTTTTATCAAATTTGACAAGAATAAAAATTTTAAGCATATAATCAAAATCTAAATGTAATAGAATAAGTTAAAGTGGAAAATATATTTATAAAGAACAATAAAGAAGTTCTCTTGTAATATTAATATTAACATTTATTGCAACCAGAACAGAGAACTATCCCTTTTGTTACACAATACATATGTATCTTGTCCTTTGGGTTGTTACTATGCTAATTGTCAGGGTTGGATAGTAACTAGTTAAAAAGTTAAAAGTTAAAAAAAAAAGTTAAAAAGTTAATAACTTTTAATTTAACTTAGTTAATTTTAAGTGCATTAAATTTTAACTTAATTAAGTTACTTTTAAACGTTAACTTTTTAACTTTCCTTTTAAGTTAAAAAATTTTTTTATCTCTTTTAAATAATTTTAAAAAATAATAAAATATAATAAGACTAAGGCTGGAATCCATAGTCCGAACATAGTCCAAATCTCAAGGAATGTCTTAAGATGCTAATACGGCTCTTTGATTGGTTCATGCACTAGTTTAATACCATCTCGAATCTTGCATAACGTTTATGGATACCTAAGAGCGTATATTCTGTTCATAATTTAAGTCCATCTTAAGTAATTTCTTAAGATACTATAGCCCTCTAATTGGCTTATGCGGTTATGCCTTATGTCATAAACCTTATTCCGGATCTACAATAACTGTTTTTTGACTAATTACAGTCAAATATTCTTCTCGTATTCGAATTTAATTGATCAATTTCTTATGGCTTAAGACTTATTAAAAAGTAAACCTAATAATTTATATTGTAATTATTTAATCTCATTTTAAGAAAAATTAGGACATTTTGATTTAAAAAAAATTTTTTTCGAAATTAACTTTTTTTCAACTTGAGTTAATTCAATATTGACTTAACTTACGTTAAGTTAATTTTTTATTCCTTCAACTTTTAACTTAACTTTATTAATTTTGTAAAGCCATTAACTTTAACTTTATTCAGTTAAGAAAAAACATTAACTTACCCAACCCTGCTAATTGTATATATATTTATTGTTAAATGAATCCAATTGTTTATTTTTCATTATATTAGTAATGATATCGTTTTTTACAGTGTTATAATTATTATCAGTGCAAATTTTGATCAGACGAATGAACAAATATATTTGAACAGTATAACTGGAACAGAAATGTGATTTAATTTAATTGCAATAGTATAGAATTATGTAAATCCTTTATTTTTAACATAAAGATTTGTTCTTATTTTTATTATTTAATAAACACACAACTACAAACATGAGAAAAGACTAATAAGTATAACGAAGAGTTCAAACTGATAATACTATTACTTTAACTTCAGATTCTTATTTATTATATACAAAGTAATATGTTTTATTTTATAATATTGCAGTGACAGTGGTCGTGACAAGTGTACTGGTGCATCCAGGAGATTTTTCTCATGTAACATTCAAGTGAGTACGAAAAATTATTACAATTAATACGATTCATAATTATTTTATTCGCGATAAACTTATTCGTTGAATGCGAGTGATTGCATTATCTTTCGCGATATGCTAATATCGGCTAGAATTTGCAAAAAGATTCTGTAATGGGAATACGAATACCTATTGTATAGGCTATGCGAGTCGAGGAGAATCAAGAACTTGATTAATTGTCTTATGATAGCGAGTGATTTATGCAATGTACTTTAATAGATTGAATAGTCTGATAGTCTATCAAGAGACTTTGGGGCAGACGTATAATGTGCGTTTCAATTATTACTTTCACCTACAAACAAATTAAAATCATTGAATCGAAATTTACACTCTGATACCTTTCCTTCGATTGTCATTATATATCACATCTAGGGTGCGTTCCACTTGGCGCTCACAATGCTTGCGAGCGTTATTTGTCCTTGTTTAACATTTAATAAACAACAAGGATGAAATGATTCCATGAGCGTTGCGAGCGTCAAGTGGAACGCACCTCTAATAACCTATAGAATCATTAATGTAGGTACAATCCATCCATACCATAAAATTATGATTTTACAATTTGATGAATTTACAATTTATTTGTGATTGCTGATCTCAATGAAGAATTGATTCTCTCAGTTTTTTTATTACGTCTTCTCGAAAATATAACATCCTGTCTGCCCTCATTCTTTCAGATATGAGTCAAGTAATGACATGCCAATTTTTAATCATATAATTTAAACCATTATTTAATTCGGTCCTCTTAACCAATTGCAATGTTATTAATCTTTACATACTACACGCCTACGCACTCGTGCGCACACACATACACACACATATCTATGATATATAAAATATAATATTTAATTTAAATTCAAATATAGAATAAAAATATATGATATTATTAAACACTGCATATTCTAAAACTTATAATAGCATTTTTTTCATATTTTTATAATGTGTGAATTATTATGAAAAATTATGATTAATTAACTGTAATTAAAATCCAATAGTGTTTTGCCCTTTTTTCATAATTCATCAAACTATAAAAATAAGTAGAAAACAAGCAAAAAATGAAATAAAAATTACTTCAAGATAAAAATTACTTGTAAAAAAATATATACTGCTATTACGCAATGTATTATGAGATTAAAGTAAGGAAATATTACGTAAATCTTCTTAAACTGATACGACAAGAATCTATCACTTTGTATCCTGAATTGACAGATTGTCATTAAATTTAATGGAATGCAAATGTAAATTGCGGACATTACTTTTAAAATATCTCGAAATTTATCGCACATAATAATATTAGAAAATACTATTTAACAAAAAGTTTTACTTTTCTTTTGTTAAATTGATCTGATACGATGTTTCGTATAGTATTCTTTGCGCTGATTTTCAATCTGTTTGCTAAATTAACTTATATATGAGGAGAGGGTTTTAAATAAAACGTTAAAAAATTTCTTTACTTATCTCTTCTGCTTATTGTTGTACGTAAATAAATGATTCAAAGGAAATAGTATTAGCATGATTTATTCATGATAAAAAAATTTCACACAAACAAAAAATTAATTAACTTAATTAAGAAAAACATTCCATATAATAGTTATTGTTAGTAAAATGTATAAATTTTTACAAAGAGATAATATAATACTAATAGAAACAAATATTAATGTAAAAGTGATTATAAGGCTCTACGTGTAGGTATAAAACAATATAAATATAATATAAAGAGGGCAAAGAGCCAAGAAATTTAACGAACAACTTTAATTCAAATAATCATGATATGAACGTTACATAAAATATAAAGTACAAAATTATTGTAAGTTAAATTTATACAATCTTGATTAAATTATCTGAGTCATTAAATCGTCTTCTTAATTATGTGTAAATTTCTAGTTAAAAATATCCATGTCGTAAGCATAATTGATCCTGTCAAATATTAATGTTATAATTTGATAACGTACAAACATATCTTATAACGAAACTGCATCTGAATATATTGTATATTGGTTCAGTGTTTTTTCTATGCTGTGTGTTGTACGTGATTTTGTGATGGACTGCTGAAGATTTAGGAACGGAAGTCTATTATACGTGGCATTGACTCGCGAAGTATTAACTTTGTTAGAGCTAGATGCTAACTAGAACACAAGGTACATCCATATACATGCTCTATAATAGAAAGAGCGATGTTATTGACATTCATTTCCTAGAACAACAATAGTTACATCTCTCTCTTGTTATAAAAAATTATAATTATATTTATTAAAGAACATAAATTATTAAAAATCATTTGTGTATAAAATATTATCTATATAGATACAAGATAACAATATAAGAGGATAAACATACAATTAATGTAAAGCAACATACAATCATGATTCCAATATATGCCATCACTTTTATAATTTATTTCTCTCTTGAATGTTATTTTTGTCTATTTGTGCTTTCGCTCTATTTCACTCCTGTAATAAATCTTATTAAAAAAATAATTATATGAGTAAGCCGAAAGTCTGGGTACAGTCGAATATTTCATAAATAAAGCATTTTTAAGAAAAAAGTTTCATGCAAAAGTTGTTCGGTTTCAACAATGCATCAAATGAAGAAACTAATTTGACTTTGAGTGTATGTTTGGAGGAGTTTCAAGATCAATTTTAAAATTTTAAGTAAAAACTCCAACTCTTTATTTATTATTCTAGTAATTGACATTAAAATCTTCTCAAAATTGCAATAAAATTCCTTTCGACAATTTTTTTTTTCAATATATAACAGAGTTTTTGTATCACTAGCATTACCATTATTTACAATATTAAATCTTAGGACCGTGAAGAATAAAACCAATGAGAAACAAGCCTTAACGATTAAGCTGGTCTTGTTTCTATAATTGCGTGTGAATTTATATACTACATAGTAGTCATTTTTTAACTGCAGTAATATTACGAATTAAATTGACGAACAATTTAACAATTTTTGATGCTTTTTACGCATCTTAGATCGATTTTAATAATGTTGAACGACATATTAAAATCTGTAAATAATGTATTCTCTTATTGCGAAAAATATTACATTATTCATAGTGTCCGACTAACGACTAAAATCTACTAAATGTTGTTCAAGATCATAAGCTTGATAACATTTGTCAAATTAAGACTATTGAAAGTTGTTTTCCTCATTTTTATTTTTAACGTAGAAATAGAAATAAGAGGGACAATCTGCATTGATCTGCTTGATCTTGACAAATGTTGATCAAACACCTTGAATATGAATAATATTAATACTGATGGCATATCCGAACTTTGTCAATTCATATCTTGAAAAAAATTTAATTAAAAGGAGTTTTATTGTAGTGCTTTAAAAAGATCCCGATGTCAGCTACAAGAATTTTAATAAAAAGTGGGAGCTTTTATGTTAAAAGATTTGAAATTGATCTTGAGAGCTTCTTCTCTTATTCACAGTTGAATAATCCTTGCCGTTTGATGTATTATTCAAATTACAATTTTTGTATGTAAAACATTGTTTTACAAAAATGCTTTATTTAAATTTAAAGTGATATATTCGATTATATTCAGACTTTTGTGTATATGGTCAATAGAGTTGTTATACACAATGCTTTCTCAAGTAATGCAAGACTTATCAATAATTATTATACATATAATTTATACGTTTAAATCTCAAGAATGTTATAAAAGTTACACTCAAAAGCCTATCTAAACCAAGATCTTTTGAAATCTTACAAATAATTATCAGTAGAGAGCTATTATATGCTAGGACAATTAATTAACTTTGTCTTACATCTCTTTACGTTAAAATATGTATATAGAAAGACCACTGTTCCGTGTATACCACTATAATTTATTCACGTATTATTTGCTATGTACGTTCTTAAAAAATTTTTTTATAACAAGCCGTTTTACTTTTTAATAGTATAAAAAATGTTTTTTGTGTTGCGGTATTTTGTATAAGAAACGTCTTTTAAATATTCTGTCATCCTTTGCAATTTTGCTCCATCCGAACCTCATATTTCTACATTTAACAAGATAATTTTTGATAATTGTTGCACCGTTTTTATCATTACGACTTTTTTGACTGATCAACAAATTTTAAATAATAGACCATAATTTTGATTCGACGTTTATGATAATTGACTACAATTTTTCAAACGTCCTAACACAATGTTTAAGAATCTTCGCATTTATTGTAAATTTCCGTTAAAAATTTAATTATTGTTAACATTGAGAATGACCCAATCGGTGTCGAAACGGTGTCCCATCGGAATACCCTACCTTCGTTTTTATTAAGGTTCCATGCGATTTATCGATATATTACTGATCTCACAAATCTGATTTCCAATGTAAAGCACATCTATTTCTGGCTTATTTAATTTTTATGGGTTGTTGATAAAATAGCATAATACTTACTTTTAATAGCATAACATTTACTTTACAGTTATTAAACAAGGGTAAAATTTTCAAATTCATCAGTATCATTATTTAAATTACCAAACTGCAACTAATTTAGATATGATATAAAAATTAGTCAAAAATAATTCCTAAATAGTTTTCAATCAAAATTGATAAAAGTACAATAAAAAAGTGAAGCTATAAGATTACATTATATATCAAGTTCGATAAAAATGACTAATTTCTTTCATATTCTTACTATTTATATTCTTATAAGTAAATGATGTTAAGTAAATGATGTATTTCATGAGATAAGATATTCAAAAATCAAATTGATTTAACAAAAAAAACACTGCTAATTTGAAAATAGGAACATTAAACTGATTTTTTAGCAAAGATCTTTCTGTTTTTTCGGCCTCTTTATATTATACAATAAAATGACAAGCCTTCCTTAACATGATACTCAAGTATGTGTGTGTATATATTTCTTCAAATAAAAACTCAATATTCACACCACTGATGTATATTTTGAATTCAAAGTTGACAAAAGGAAATTGATAAAAAGCAGAGTGGAATGCTACAGAAAATAATGTCATGCAAAGAATGTCATAACGAATCAAATTACGTGATTTACTTTTGCATCAATTTTAAGCTTTGAAGCATTCATTTTATCGTCGTTTTGCTTTCTTTTTATTACAACATGTTTGCAAACCAATAATTATGTTTGCATTATGCAACCTTTATTTTTATCCATGGCAAAAGCCGATCACAGTAAACGTTACTTCCTGCAAAAGTATTATCTTTATTTAGTCTGTTCTTTTAAATTGCTGCATGGACTGATATTTATTGCAACGCAAAAGTACAAAAAGAATTTTTAGATATGACTATCACAAAATATTATAAAATGTTGATAAAAAATATTAATAGATACAATTTATTTTTAAATTATCATTTTTTATTTCAGAGAAAAGTTTTGAATTCTTCACAAAACAATTTGCATTTTTGGTAATTAAATTAGAATTATTTTAATTTAACACTTGTTGTCTGCTCGATATTATAAACTATCAAGCAATTTAAATTAAAATACAATGTGTGCGTCAATAATTTTGTCCTAAAATAAAAAAATCTTCAATTATACTTTTTTTGCAGGAATGTCTTGGCGAATCGAAAGATTTTCGTGCGGAACAGTGTGCGGAGTTTAACAGTGTACCCTTCGAAGGAATTTATTACGAGTAGGTTTCTTTTATTCTCTTTCTCTCCCTCTCCTTCTCTCTCTCTCTCTCTCTCTCTCTCTCTCTCTGTAAAATTTCCTCTTTTTAATAATTCTTTTAGTGTATTGCATTTTTTGGAACTGTCTATCGTGTTAAAGCAATTCGCGCTATCTGCGCCGACCTCGAAAATCCCGTTTTCTCTCCTATCTTTGTACGAGCTACAGTAAATCAATTTATTTGCAAATGCCTCGGGCACTCATTTTTGATGTTTATTTATTGAAATAAACGTTAGGGAAACCAGTTCAATTGCATAAATATTTAAAAAGTTGAAAAAAATGAGAGGTGAGCACCGGGATACCAGGGTGCGTAACAACGTTGGTATAAAAGTTGGGTGCGTACACAAGGGTTAAGTTAAAGTGGTGTTTACAATAAGATTTTAAGGCATAGACCTTATAAGTATGGACTGGTAATTGCCTATAATTTCTGTAAAGAAACAATGTCCGGAGAAGGTTAGAGTGAAAAACATATACTCTTCAGATATTTTTCTATTTCCCAAAGTGTCAGGAAAAGTACATTGCGCATGTCAGGTAAACATACGGTGCATTATAACATTAGATTAGAATTAAAAATAGTATATTGTAATTTTAAATACAAAATAAGATTTCTTTTGAAAATGTACAATGTAGGTAATTAAAAAATATCCAAAACAGAACTTTGTAAAATTGTATATATAGGAAGAATTAACTTCAATGAAACATATCCAATGTGTATATGTCAAGCATATGTGCGAAATGATATACTCCCTTGAGAATAGGTTTGTAATTACGTATGTAGGAATTCTTGCATTTTTCAAATTTTTGGACGGTATAATTTTTTAAATAATTTTTTAAGATAGCTTAAATTATTATAAGAAAGAGTCTAAAGCTTTAAATAGTTTAATTGTAAATAAAATATAAAAGAAATTTCAAGTTATATGAATACAAAAATAGAGTATAAAGGATATGTTGGAATTAAAAGAAATGAAATTTTATCATTTAATTTTCGTGTAAAACCTGATCTACATAAGATGCAAAATACGAGTTACAGATCGCAAGACTAGAAACTAACCTAATGTATTTTAATTATAATAAGTTGTAAGATGCAGAACGTAGCAGGATACAGGGAGTTGCGTAAACTCCAACTTACGTGTCTTGCGGCCTGCAACTTATTATAATCTGAAATATATGTTTCACTTTCAACCTGCAATCTACGTTTTGCATGCTTATATAAAACCTAAGTTGGACTTAAAAGTGTGAAATGCTCAATTTTTTTTAAATATAATGTCACATTAGTGAAAACGTAGCAACATAGTTTTCATTAAAATTATCATTACCTAAATTAAATTTAAATATTACAATATAAACAATTATTATACTTTAATATCTTTTATTTAAATGTTTATTTGTACTGTAATATTATAAAGAAAATATTATTTAATAACAAATTATAGTTTTACTGTTTAAGTGTTATTCATTTACTTTTTAGGAGATAACAATAACATTTTACATTCTTTGTGCTCTTGTGTTAAGATAAAAAGAGTCATATTATGACTCTCCTCTATTTTTTTTAAGCCGGAGAATCTTTTAATATTCTTAATATTCTGTTCATTTGCTTTGTAATCCATGGTTACTAAATTTTATCAAAAAACAGTTATTGTTAAAAAAACACCCGGAAAAATATTTATATTATACGTGTGTGGATATTTTATACATAATTATATATGAAATATTTTTTTTAGATGGTTACCTTTGTAATTCTTTTTTTCTATCATTTGAAAACATTTGATCATAAATGTAAAGGTTGTTGACCGTTATCTACTGTACCATCTACTTGTATGTAACATCATATCATAAAATTAAGTTTTACAATAAGAAACACAATATATAATATTTCCATTTTATTTCAATATACGTTTTCGTATTCGTATATCAATCTTATATTGTTTCCACACACACACACACACACACACACAGGCGCGCGCGCACAATACTAATAATTATGTGTAACTTATACATTGCCTCAAAAGCAATCGTTAAATATAGCTGTGTGGTACGTATATGTGTGTGTGTGATAACGAAATTATCTATATATCTATATATGTAGCTCGTTAGCTTACATCGTGCAGATAGCAGTGCTCTAGAGAACTGAGACACCATATGTTTATATTTAGACCATTGCCCATTTAACCTTCTTTTCTATTATATATACTTTCTTTCATGCGTCAAATAGCCGAAAAAGATTTTACTTGTTCTGATCGTATCCTCCCTCTTTTTATTTAGGGACAGGTGCCATTTACTTAGTCCCAGTTTCACAACTCATAGTTAATTTCTAACCGAGGTTCAACATATTTCTCATCTCATTATTTCGACTTGTTGCCCGTTAAATTATTTTAATGTTTATTATTATCGAGCCTTCTCCTAATATTATTATTTCTCATCTCTTTCCAATTCTAGAATTAGAAAGAGATATAGGGAATAAGTTAAACCTTAATTGAGAGTAATTAAGTTAATCGTGAATTGTGAAACTGGGCCTTAAAGAAGAAGAAAGATTCTACCGGATATCGAATATTCGGTATCACATTCTTTTCGGATATCTAATATCCGATAATTTTACGATTCGGTGAATTCTTAGTTCATAGTACTCCATAGTTCATAATATTCGATAATAAAAATGGGTGCGATATAATTATCGATTTTTATTTACATGTTATTATTTGTTTCCTATAGTTGGATTCCGTACATCGGAAGTCCGAATAAATGCGAACTAAATTGCATGCCACGAGGCGAGCGATTTTTCTACAGACATAAAGTCGCTGTGATCGATGGCACTCCTTGTGAATCTGAAAAGAACGATGTTTGCGTCGAAGGCAAATGCATGGTGAGTTATGTTTCATCATTAATTATTATTATAAATTTAATAATTGCGTAAAAGACACTTTTATTTTATTATCAAATAACATAGGTTTATATAAAATAATAGATTTATGGTTAAGCTATTATAATTAAATAAGATAAAGAAGAAGTAAAAATAGAGCTATGTATATTACGATAGAATTTATTATAAAATTATTTTAAATAGCATGTCGGATGTGATATGATGTTGGGCAGTGATGCTAAAGAAGATGCGTGTAGAGAATGCGGTGGCGATGGCTCAGATTGCAATACCGTTACTGGCTTATTTGACACGGACGATCTTCAAGTGGGTGAGTTATTTTCGTTGATTAATATTTACTAATATTAGTAATATTTTATAACAATTTTCTAACAAGCGATTAAAATTAATTTTGTATAATTAATAATGTATATTTTAACTAATTTTCTTTTACTTTTTTTATAAATCTGTTTGCACGCTATTCTATTATTTAATCTATTTCTGTGCACTAATATTTGAGAAATATTACATTTTCAGGATATATCGATATTTTACTTATTCCCGAAGGTGCTACAAATATTATTATTAAAGAAAATTATCCATCCAACAATTATTTAGGTGAGTTTAAATGAAATAAAAACTTGTATTATAATATCAAACGGTAAGATAGCACGGCACATATATATGTATAATACATATATATATATATTTGATACATAATTTAACATCAATGAATATAGTATCAATAAGTTGTTTTTTAATTGCTCATTCTAAATATTCTCGAAATTTTTTAATTAGCTATACGCAACACAACCGGACATTACTATTTAAATGGCAATTGGAGAATAGATTTTCCACGCAGTTTACGCTTTTCTGGTACAATCTTTCATTATGCTAGAGACCCTCAGGGATTTGCAGCACCCGATACCATTACGGCTCTGGGACCTACCAATGAACCAATTTATATTGTGGTTGGTATACATGTATACATCGGTATCGATTATTATTGTAAAACACTCAGAATGGGGAGTGTATCAATAAGAAATTTTTTTTGCAGTTGTTGTACCAAGATCGTAATGTGGGAGTGCATTACGAATACAGCATACCCAAGAAGTTTTCGGCGCGTACCGATCCAGATAGTTATACTTGGGTAACCGATGAATTCTCAAGTTGCAGTGTTAATTGCGGTGGAGGTATTATAAGATTATAATTTTAATAAGCATACATGTGATCAAAAGTGTAGCTAGTTTTAAAATCATGTTTTCTTATTGTTAGAAAATGATGCTTTTATACAATACGTACAAATATTTGGAAGACTTGTTAATTTATATTGATAATACCAAGAAATTATTTTGATTACTCTTTAATTTAGCAAATTATTTTTATATAATAACAAAATATTAATAAATCTGTCAAATTATTGTACTAAGTACGAATGCAATAAAAACAAATGGTGTTCAAAATTTGAAGCAAATCCATTATAGTGAATTAAAGTAACAGTTGCATTTCAACAAGAGCGTTTCGTTTATTTTTCAAGGTTACCAATCGAGACGGGTGGCTTGTGTACGAAGGCGTGACAATCAGCCAGTGGATGAGAATCTATGCGATCCGCAGTTGGAACCGACTGACACTCAAAGTTGTAGCGAAGAACCATGTCCACCTATTTGGGTGGAAGGTTCATGGTCAACTTGTACCAAACTTTGCGGCGAAGGAGGCGAGCAGACTAGAGAGATCAAATGCGAACAGATCATCTCAGGTGGAATAGCTTCCGTGGTGGATGATTCTCAATGTTTAGAAAAAGTGGGACCAAAAGGACTTACGAAACAAGAATGCAACAAAAATGTAGATTGTCCGCAGTGGCATGAAGGGCCCTGGAAGCCCGTAAGTTACATTATCACGCGGTATTAAATTATGATATAAATTATATGACTCGACGAAAGAAAGAAATTTCCTTCCAGTGCGATCATATATGCGGACCTGGTAAGCAAACGAGAACAGTTACGTGTTACAAGAAGGTCGATGGCAAGATTCAAGTGTTAGAAAATGAAGCATGTGAAGAGGAAATGCCCGAAAATGAAAAAGTTTGCGAGCTGAGACCTTGCGCTGGTCTTGATTGGGTTATCTCGGAATGGAGCGGAGTAAGTTCTCTAAACACACGCGAATAACTTTTTATTAAATGAAAAAATTACCGAAATTACTTTTTTACGCTTCTGTTTCTCAAAGTTTTAAACAACCTGGTACAATTGAAAATCATCTTGTCTTGATAGTGCGAGGAGAAATGTGATCTCATCAAAGAAACCAGAACGGCTCATTGCGCTACTCAAGATGGTACAATTTATCCAGATAATTTGTGTGATGAAGACAAGAAGCCAGAATTGGAAAGAAATTGTGACAAAGTTAAGAATTGCGATTTTCAGTGGTTCACCTCGCAATGGAGCGAAGTAAGTAAATAAACATTTTCTTGCGCGTCTACACACATTTACTTTAAAATAAAAATATACTTTAGGATACAAATGTATACAAATGAATAAATTGGCTAAGCGTTAGTAATATCCTCTGAATTGAATATTTGTATTGGAACTTTTAATTAACCTTATTTACAGAACGAGAAAGCCACTATAGTGGTGCTGAAATAGTGTTACGTATATTTTGAGGCAAGAAATAACATAATGAAATAATGAATTATAACAAATCTTACTAGGAAGGAAAAGCTATGAAATTTTTTAAATAGATTTCCGTCTTTTAAAGGTCAAATATAATAGTAAATTTATTTTTTTGATGTTTTTCATCTTCATTAACATTTTCATAGTGTTCGGCAAAATGTGGACACGGCGTTCAAACGCGCAAAGTGTTCTGTGGCACTTTTAGCAACGACATTGTGAAGAAAGTTTTGGATGAGAATTGCGACCCCAAAAAAAAATTTGAAAATATTAAAAATTGCACCGCTGAAGAACTATGTAAAGGCGAATGGTTCGCAGGGCCTTGGAGCAAGGTTTGCTTTAATTTTTAATTATTCCGCGCCAAAACATACGACATTTTTATTTTCACGTTAATTGATGCTGCTTTGTCTACTACTACAGTTTTGTAAAGCTTGATTATAATTCAGATTTATTCATTTTTTTTCGAAATGTAATCGATAATATTATCAATTACATCGTAATATGTTGCAGTGTTCAAAGCCATGTGATGGTGGCGATATGACTCGTAAAGTAATTTGCATGAAGAATAACAAAACCGTACCTGTGAATCAGTGTAATGCTGACAACATTATATTCTCTACCGAAAGATGCAATGACCAATCTTGTGAAAGAGGTAAAAATTTGACAAAATTAAATTTTATATTTTTAAATAAAATAGATTAATATTTAACATACAGAGATATAAAATAAATATAACGTTTATACAAAAAGATATTTCTAAAAATAACGATATAATTTAAAAAGATTAGTGTCAGTAGCTTTAGAAATATTTAGTTGTTCAATTAATTTATTGATTCAATTTTTTAAATTTGTTTATTTTATTGTTACAATATATACGTTATTAAATAATATTGCCCTATTGATAAAAATATATATACATGTATACATATACAATATGTATAGAAAAAAACAATACGTACTATTGGATAATTTATTAAACTATCTTATTTGGAAAATAAATTCTATCATCGATATTATGTATTTATACCAGAAGGTATGCGGGTTATCGCCGTGTCTTTCTTCATTATTAATGCCAACGTTTCGTGAACCATACCGTTCACTTCATCAGGGCGAGGGGTGCGTATCAGCGTGAACGGCATGGTTCACGAAACGTTGGCATTAATAATGAAGAAAGACACGGCGATAACCCGCGAACCTTCTGGTATAATTGAAGAAAATACCCGTGAAAGCCTCAAAATCGTAAATTGTGTATTTACATTGAAAATCTCCTAAATCTTGTTGTCATTTCTATCATTAAAGAACTCATAAAAATATATTAACATTTGCTTCATTATAACGTAGATTACGTGATTTATTACGACGTGAACTTTTCATTATAGGCCACGAGCATAAAATATAGAATACGTTTAGAACAGCAGGCGTGAAAATAATGAAGTTCGTGGTATTAAATTCAAATGTCTTAGTACTTACTCTACAGGGCAACATGAATCACCTACCGTGAATAAAATATCATTTGTTCTCTGTAACAAAGAAAATTAAATTTTCGATGTGCTTTCGAAGTTAGTTAACGATAAATAAAATGCACGTATAGAATTCTCCAATTTTTTACAAGTTTTTATAATATACATACTTTTAAAAAACTCGACCGTGATAAGAATTTAAATTAGGATTTTTGTGTAAATTTGTTATTATGGAAAACACAGGCGTGACGCCAATCGACGAGGAGCCAGATGAAAAAACGATAGATTCGAAGGAGGAAGAATGTGAGGAGGAAGAGGAAGAAGAACATGCTATTGAATTCGGTCTTCCTGCGGGAGTAAGTAAAACTGGATCATATACTTAATCAAATATTAAGTACGACTGACTTCGTAACTTTGTTTCTTATTACTTTACCGTTTCAAGGAGTCGTCGAATTCACAAATCAAATAAACCTTTTCTTATGCGCGGAACAATGTGGTAACGCGGAATTCTCTTTCGATTTTACATCTCGTCGACAGTCGGATAGTTGCAACATTAAAGTGCTATTTCTTGTTTCAGAAAGTGACAATAGGCAAACTAATAGAGCAAACAGAGGCTACAACTACGAATTTATTCTTTACCGGAAGTGATACTTACGATACTATGTTTAGTGATTCTACGAGAGGCGATATATCACTTTCCGAATTAGGTAGCGGTGAAGGTAGCGGTGACGGTAATTTTACCATGTTTGATACTAGCTTGTTCACCGGCAGCACAGTCGACATTGATTCTACCGTTGTCGAAGAGAGCGAAAGTTCAATTAGTGGAATTACGACGGAAGACAAAACCGGCACAACCGAATTCGGAACAGACATAAATGAATCATCAGACATCACTGAAGGAATTGACGTAACACTCGAAGGATCCGGTATCAGCTTCGAAGGATCTGGTGCATTCACAGACGAATTTGTAAAAGAAACTCAAGTCTCAGTATCGGAATTCGACAGTATGTTTTTATCAAATATAATATTAATTTATTATAGTCTTTATCTTTATGTTTTAAATTAAACGTTTTTTTTTACATAACTGGCTCTTAATCCTTCAATTGTCCTATTTTGTTTTTTATTTACAGAATCTTATTATTATTATAGTCTTATTTATATTGTTGAGTATCGTTTATATAAAACTAGTATTGTTTTACGAATATATGTATATTGTATGTATTAATTTGATGTTGAATCAGGAACAACAGAACAATCAACAGATTATTCCGTTACCATCACCAGCGAATTGGCTAGCAATGTAGATATCGAATCAACTGTTAGTAAAAATTTAGAAACAACAATCGAATCCAGTAGTATGACAACTGATTCAGACGACGTAACAAGCAATGCAAACAAATCTGTTGATACCGATGTCACTATCACTTCAACAGAAACAACTGAATCTACTGAAACAGCTACAACAGCTACAGCAACTGAAACGACCGATTCGACTGACAGTCAAACAACACCAACTACTGAATCTACAGATACGACCGAGTCTACGCAATCTCCATCAAATACATTTTCAGAATTATCTTCATCAGAAACGGAGATTACAACAACAGAGAAAATAGAAACGACTGCAAGCGAAATTATCACATCTGGTAAGTATTAAATAGTGTTAAATAGTAAAATTGTTTATAACCAGAATTTAATATTATGTAGATACGTAATTAAAATATACATTTACATACACACACACATATTTATATTATATATATATACACAGGGTGTCCCTACCACCTGAAATATCCTCTAATCTATAAGATGTAGAGAAAAATTTATATAACTAAAATTACATCTAAAGGGGACTATCATATGGTGATAATCATTTTTGTCCAGGTGGAATCGTTTCGATTTCAAGGACAACTTTGTTTTTTCAAAAGGAAAATAATTCCTTTTGAATATGAATTTTTTTACACAATATAATTCCTCTAATTATTCTGCATAAAGAAGTATTAAGATCATGGTACCGAGAAATTAATAGTTTACGAAATATCAAATTTAAAATTACTTTACACATGAATTTTAACATTCTTCATAAATGAAGATCAACTCGTCTAACAAATTATACGTGCTGCTGTCCTTCTATTTATAACATTGCTCTTAGCTAACCTTTTCATTTATTATTTTAATAAAAATCTCCAAATTGCTGGATTAAACGCGGGAGTCCTGTAATATAGCCAGCTCGTTCACCAGACTTAAAACCATTGGATTATTTTTTATGTAGAATCCTAAAGAACATGATGTAAAAAGAACAACCAACTACATCTCATAGCATGCAACAACGGATTACTACAGCCTGTATGTCAATATTTCCCGACGTTATTAGAACAGCAAGCCAATCAATAATCAGAAGAATTCTATGTTTCATTGATAGTGGTGGCGATTTTTATTCGAACACCTTTAAATTTAATTAAATTATTAAATATTTAATAAAATATTATTGTATTTAATATTGAACATTAAATGTTATCAATTAAAAGAATGTTTGTTTTCATTGAAGCACGATGTATCCGTTTTATTTAACGTAAAAAGTTATGTTAGAATAATGTGTAAAATATCTCGTAAACACACACACACACACACACACTATTGATTTTTCGGTATCATGCTTTTAACATAACTTTTTTATGTAAAGGAATTATATATAGTGGAATCATATTATATTAAAAAATTCATATAATTCCATTTTAAAAAACAAAGTTGACCTTGAAATCTCTGAAGCGTCTTCACCTGTACAAAAATTATTATCACCATATGATAACCTTCTTTACATTATATAATATTGATTATATAAGTTTTTTTCTATACCTTATAGATTAGAAGATATTTTAGGTGGTAATTGTTATTGGGACACTCTGTGTATTGTATTTTATTGCTTTGAATTTATTATTTAAATTTTTTAAAATAATCTACATGGCAATCTTCGAAATGCATTTTTTTATAAGATTTTAATATTTTTATATAAAAATGCCTGAGAGAGAGAGAGGGAGGGAGGGAGGGAGGGAGGGAGAGAGAGAAGAGAGAGAGAGAGAGAGAGAGAGAGAGAGAGGAAACGCTTATATTTTTTTAACGTAAGCGAAAAATTAAATTAATTTTACTGTCTGTCAGTAAGTCACAAGAGAGTACACAAATTATAAATTAATTATATATCTTGTAGAAACAGTGATGACATCAACAATGGTTTCTCAACAAACAACAGAATTGAAAGTACAAGGAGAGTATGATTTCGGTTCGGAGGAACAGAGTACTGACACTATAACTACTGCATCGAGTCAAATAGATGAGAGTTACACTACGACAGTTATCAGTACAGAAAACACTATTGTTTCTGAGATGAGTCCATCTGGGGAGACTGAAACAACTGGTAGCAAAATAACTGAATCGGGAGAAACAACTGAGTCCAGCATTAGCATGGAATCAGTTGAGATAACAGAACCCGGACTAACGACTAAATCTAGCGATGTTACGACCTCAAGCGCAATTGTCGAATCGGGCGCAACAGAATCTAGTGAGGCTACCATCACGGTTTCTACGGAAATGGAAGTTACAGAAACTACCGAGTCAACCATGATGACTAAATCAAGTGAGACGACTGAATCGTTAATGACAACATCATCTTTTGAAGGAACAACAGTATCTGGTGAAATCATTGTAACGGAAATTATGTCCTCCACAATTAGTGAAGAAATCGATCTTACCGAAAAGACTCATAGTAAGTATAATCTCGAATGATATAAAACATGATATAAAACAAGTGTTTCTTTTTTATATATTAATATCAACATAATTTTAGTCACAGAAGTATGGACAACCAGCTTCCCAGAAACAACGGCACACAAACGGCAATGTAAACCAAAGAAGAGTTGCAAGAAAACACTGTTCGGATGTTGCTATGACAATATCACTGCTGCTCAGGGGCCATTTGGTTATGGTTGTCCGATGCCGCAAACATGCAATGACACACGATATGGTTGCTGTTCCGATGGCGTGTCACCAGCCATTGGTCTCAAGAGCAAGGGTTGCCCAGACTCTCGATGTAATGAATCACTTTTTGGTTGTTGTCCCGATGGTGTTACTACAGCGCAAGGCAACGATTATGAAGGATGTAAGAAACCATGTAAAGAAACAGAGTTAGTATTTATTTTTATAAAGTAAATTCTTCAAATGTTCATTATTTTAGTTTTATAATTTAATCACTTGTCCGTTTAAACGCGTAGATTTGGATGTTGTCCAGATAACGAAACTGCAGCTAGTGGAAAGAATTATTTGGGATGTTGTAATGTAACTGAATTTGGTTGTTGCCCAGGTGATATTAAAGCCGCTTCTGGTCCTAACAGCGAAGGTATATTTTTTGTCTTTGTATCGTGTACCTAAATATACCCTACTTACGTAAGAATATATTACAATATTTGTATGCCTTATTTAGATATTTCTGAAGTTATATGTATTTATTAGATGCATACTATAATATATTGTACATATTTTCAAATGTTAAATAATGACATTTGTTATGTAAGGTTGCAAAGAAGAAGTCACTTCTGAAACGGAGGTATATGAAATAACAACACAATCTATTTTACCCGAAGATTGTGCAAATACCACTTACGGTTGCTGTCCTGATGGTATTACCATTGCAACTGGTGTCAACTTTGAGGGTTGCGGTGTCATTAATACCGAAAATTGTAACGCGTCCTACTTTGGATGTTGTCCTGACGGAGTTTCCGCGGGTTAGTTACATAATAATAATAATAATGATAATGATAAATTAATTAACATAAATTTTGTAAGAACTATTCATAGAATTAATTGGATCGGAAAAGATATTAACATTGCCTCCTAATATATTATATCATTTGAAACATATCATTAATTATGTGAAATAATATTTTATAATATTGTCCTTGTACATGCGCGCGCGTGTTATTGATGGTTTCTTTATACGTGTTATAAATAATTGACCAAATACCTAGATGGAAAAATATCGAAATAAATTGGTTAATTATTTCAAAATACTTCTCATTGTATATCTTTTCATCGTCTGTGATTGTTTCCACAGCTCTCGGACCAGACAACTATGGCTGTCGCATGCCTTGTCAGGACAGTGTTTATGGATGCTGCGAGGATGAAATAACGCCGGCACATGGACCGAACAATGAAGGTTGCTGTTTATCAACACCATACAAGTGCTGTCCAGATAACAGCCTGCCAGCTCGTGGGCCAAACTTCTACGGCTGTGGCTGCCAATATACGAGATTCGGTTGTTGCCCGGATAATTCAACGGTAGCGCGCGGACTAAACAACGAAGGTTGTGGCTGTATACATACACTTTATGGTTGTTGCCCGAATCGATTTACTCCCGCTAGTGGACCTAATTTTGGAGGATGCCCGTGTTACACTTACCAATTTGGATGTTGTCCCGACGGTATTGCTATCGCTAAGGGCTCTCATGGTCAAGGTAACTCCACGATCGACATGCATATATAAATATTGTACATACATATATATGTAAGATCCAAGTGTCGAGACGTTGACAGTAATTTAAACATAAAAAAAGGAAAAAATTATGTACATTTTGTAACGCATTGTATAACGTTTACAGGTTGTGGATGCGAGAATACAAAATATAAATGTTGTTCAGATGGAAGAACACCAGCTAAAGGACCAAATTTTGCGGGATGTACCTGCGACGCATCGCAATATGGATGCTGCCCAGACGGAATTGAGGAAGCTCAAGGGGAGAACTTTGAAGGTTGTATCACAGTACCTTCGATGCCCGGTGCAACATGTGGATTGAAGAAAGACAGAGGTTCTTGTCGAGATTTTACAGTCAAGTGGTTCTATGATACCGACTATGGTGGTTGTTCAAGGTTTTGGTACGGAGGCTGCGAAGGTAACGAAAATCGGTTCAAAACACAGGAAGAATGCAAAGAAGTTTGCGTTCAACCGAAAGGAAAAGGTAACTGTGTTTAAATATAGTATTTTGCACAATAAGTAATTATTATATGTATATAAAAAAACTTTCTTTACAATAAAATGTAATTAAATATAGATATATATATATATATATATAATAAAATTTTTTTCACTCTTTATAAATTTTATATTTAATATCAATTCTATATAAACAATTACATCTATTTAAATTTTAAAACATCAAAATTCTAGATTCAAATATTCAAACAACAAATTTTTGGATTTATTTTGCAGCTGCTTGCTTTCTGCCAAAAATCGCTGGTCCTTGCGAAGGATATCATCCAACGTGGTATTATGATGCCGGTAGAAAGCAATGCGGTCAATTCGTTTATGGTGGTTGCCTCGGTAATGCTAACAAGTTTAAAACAAGAGAAGAGTGCGAAGAACTTTGCATCACACTGAACGACATCGGTAAGCTGTTATTAATGGTCACGTTCAGCAAACTCAACTGTTGCGAAGCGGATCTGTGAGCGCTCCGTAACAGTTTAGTCTACTGAACGCGACCAATGATTTAACATATGTATATACAGGATGTCTCACAACTATCGCATTTAATCTTAAGAACTTATTTTTGAGAAAATTTTATGAGGGAAATTCTAATAAAAAAATGTCGAGGCTATAATAGTTTTTAAATTAATCGCATTTAAATTTCGCTAATCACAGAGCTGAGATTTCGCGCGCTCAGGCATGACAATATGACAAGTGGTGAATGTACCACGAGAGCCCCATAAACATGCAATTATTTTCAGAAAGTTGTTTGAAAAAACATTTGTTACAAATGAACATAATTTATTTTGACAGTTATACGTTTCTTATTTAAATTTTACCAGATCCTTGCGATCAGCCGAAAGAAGCAGGTCCTTGCGTAGGCAATTTTACAAAATGGTACTTCAACCGAGAATCGCAGACTTGTGAACAATTCGTATATGGTGGTTGCAAAGCGAATGACAACAACTTTCCGACAGAAATCGCTTGCCATCAACAATGCCTACAGCCAGGTAGAAGAAAAGGTTCGTTTTATTTATGTATTGTTATCGCTTTTTACATATAAGCATTAAGATTTTACATACAAAGTTATCTATATGACATTTGTCTAAATATATGATTTCAAATTACTTTAATCAGTATCTGTTACTTAATGAATTTTTGCTATTGACAAGATATTATATAAACATTATTTTTTTTAATTAATCTCAAGTTTTAAAATTAATTTAAGTAGTAGTTTTTATAATTATATGAAATGTGTTAGTACTCTCTGATATTTTTATTGATTTAATATTTCTGGCAATGACTATTGACTTTATTAAATTTTCTAATATAATATATAAGTTGAATCTTTTGTGTAAATCTAATTAATAATGTATTATATATATGTATATATAACATGTATTTAACTTAATATATCATGCATACGTTTGGGTATAAAGACTTATCAAAATTAAAGAATTGTCATTTTATATAATATAAAATAAATTTGTGTGAGGTAAAATTTAAATAAGTTTAATAATAGAAACTTAATATTTACAAAAATATAATATTTACATTTTTTTTACTAAAAAATATACAATGAAAGCACACTATGAGATTATTCAGCAGATAAGTGAAGCATAAGTCTATCAATTAATAGTGCTCCTTGTAAGTATGTTGGGCTTATTCAAAATTCGTTTGCCACCGATATTACTTTTAACCGTTTCTCTAGTCGTTCTTCGTTAACTTGATTGCATAGATGGACGAACTTTTACAGTAAAACTGTCTGATGTATGCACCTTGAAGAGAGATCCCGGACCCTGTCCGGGTTCGGCATTACGCTGGTATTACGATATCGAACGTGTCACTTGTAGCCAATTTGTTTATGGTGGTTGTAAAGGCAATGCCAATAGATTCCGTACTATTGCTGCCTGCCAGCAACGTTGTCCTTCACAAGGTATAGACAGCAATAAAAAAAAAAGCTTAATCGCTTCGTGGTAACATCATGCACAGTGAAAACTCAATACTTTTGCTCAATTTTGAGAAAGCACCTTATATTTTTCCTTTTTTTTTTTTTCAACAAATTTAGCTCGTGGGTGATGGTAATCGAAAATAGTATGTCTAATGCAAAGCTGACTGAGTCGTTATTACATGTCGGTAGCAATACGAGACTTGAATAACACAATCACATGATTCACAATCGCGTTAGCTTATTTTTCGCACAGTTTTTAATCTGTATACACGCTTTCACTTGCTCGTAATCTCGTCCAACACAATATAAAAATATTAGTTCTTTAATTTTTCTTACAATAGAATTAACGTAAAATATTATACTGCATTTTATATATTTAATGTTAAAATTAATATCTTTTTGCAACTGGATTAAACACTTAATAAACCTTATTACAGTCATATATTTTCCTTTATACATATTTTTAATTTTTTATAAAGGATATATATTTTGTTTATATGTGTTTAAGGCGCGCAGATGAACGCGTATGCATAAGTATGTACGTTATATTATTTATATGTATATAACTTTATAGCACATTAATATATACATATATGTACGTATATATGTGATATGGCAGTAACAGAATAGAAATTAATAAATTTAGGTTCCTAATCAACTATTTATTTGAATTGAATGTACATATTCATAGTTGGTTAAGTATAACAACTGAGCAATTTGGCTAACAATAGAAATAAGAATCTTTGAAATAACAACAGGTATATAATGAAATAGCTGGAATTGAAATAGGATTGATTAATGTCTTATCTAACCCTGCATGATATAATAGATAATTAATAAAATTAATAGATATTTGCACGTTGCCGCGGGCGGAGGGCACATGCATGGAGAAGCAATCTCGATGGTATTTTGATCAATCAGAGAATCGCTGCATGCCATTCTATTACACTGGCTGTAATGGCAATAAAAATAATTTTGAATCTAGAGACGCATGTGAGTCTGATTGTCCGTCTAAAATTGGTAAGATTTTATTATCCTCAGTATTTATATTCTTCCCTCCTCCTTTCCGCCCCCCCCCTCTCTCTCTCTCTCTCTCTCTCTCTCCAATACTTTCTATTTCAAATGTTATTATATTTTTTTAAAGCGCTTATTTCTTCCGCATTTTTTATCACCACAAATAGCAGTGCTATCCTTTTTTACATTGTATATAAACAAAAAAGTTTCATTTAATTTAATTATAATTAATTGAAAAAGGTTTATATTTAATTGCACATGATATATAATATTTTATTATCTACATATAATACACGTTGCAATTTTTTTTCACTTATATAAGATTTTATATTATATATAATATATTACATTATATAGATATAGAACATTAAAATATAAATACCTGTGTAAATTTTTCTTTTTCTATTTTTCTCAAATTTTGTAATATAAAAATTTATATACTTTTAACAAAAAATAGGGAACACTTTTGAACACATTAAAAATTGGGCAATATTCAACACACCGTAATTCGGTGAAAAATTATTGCAGATTAAAAATTAAAAGAGCATTTTAAAAGTTGGAATCTGTACATTTGAAATCGGTAATTGTTATTTCAATTCGACTGATCCTTTATAGAGTTATAAAAAAGTAATCACTTTTACTTCAACATTCAATAACTTGGTGAAAGAAACTCGTACAACGTTTACTAAAAAAGCAAATTGAAAGTACACATTCACTTTTTCGATTACTGTGAACCTCATTTTTGTATAATTTTTATCTCATGCAATAGACATTTGTAAAGTTTGTGCAAAATTTTCAGATTTGTCGGATATTCATTTGTGTCCATATAACTCTATGAAGGATCAGATGGATAAAATAACAATTACCGATTTCAAATGTAAAGATTTCAACCATTAAAATGCTTTTTCAATTTTTCGTCTGCGATGATTCTTCAGCGAATTATGGTGTTCTAAATATTGTCCAATTTTTAACGTGTTCGAAAGTATTCTCAATTTTTTGTTGAGTAGTGTATCATAACTTTCGAAATTTGTTATCATTATATATTATATTAGCACATAATATTATTAAAAATATATAATCAAAAAATAATTTTAAAAAAGTAAAAATTTTTAATCTTTCTTTATACGTTTTCTGTTATTTAGAAAACTTTTTAGCACACACACACAAGTAATAATATATATCTATACCGTAGTACATACAATTTTTAAATTCATGTTGAATACAGAGCAAGATATCTGCCTGTTACCCGCTCTTCTGGGAGAATGCCATAACTATACTCAACGATGGTACTACGACTCCTATGAGCAACACTGTCGACAATTCTATTACGGTGGATGCGGCGGGAATGAGAATAATTTCGTAACCGAACATGACTGTATTAATAGGTGTGTAGCGATTATCACCACTCCGCCTCCATCAGGACAAGTCGAATTCCAACTAGGTAACGTTCTTGAAAAAATTGTTCACAAGTAACAATATCACTTATTTATCTATATTATCACATATTCTAGAATTCTGCTTCTTATTCGACGAACACGGTCCTTGCTCTGAAAATCAAGTAAAATGGTTTTACGATAGTCGTGATGGTGTTTGTAAACAATTCCGATACGGCGGCTGCCAGAGTAACGGTAACAATTTCAACACTCGTGAAGAATGCGAATATCGCTGCGGAGAAGTTCAAGGTACACGTAGCTGTATAAAAACATAAAAAGTTACAAAATAAAAAAATCCCAAAAATTATACTTATTATAAAGAAAAACTCCAATAACACACATCTATTACAGAAATCTGGAACATGTAAAATGATATTATATTCACAATTGTACAGAAAAGAATTATTTAATACTTTTATTTGATTTATATATTACAAAAGATTCAGAAAGTATTGCAACTATCAAAAGAAAATTATGAAAATTTCAGATCCTTGCATTCTACCAGAAGTGATCGGTCCTTGTGACGGTTTCGTAAAGCAATTCTATTATGATAAGCGCACTGATTCTTGCTACGAGTTCGAGTATAGCGGCTGTCAAGGCAATAAAAATCGCTTTCAGGATAGGGAATCTTGCGAGAAAAAATGTAAACGAGAAACGGCTGCCGTTATACCGGAGATTACTCGAACATTAGCTACGATAACTCCGCCGACTGGAGAACCAAAGAGTATGATTTGCTTGGCGCCAGTCGATTCTGGCGATTGTAGTGACAGTATTACCGCGTATTACTACGATGCCCAACATCAGATATGTCAGGCGTTCATTTATGGCGGATGTAATGGTAATGCTAATAGATTTCAAACCGAAGAACAATGCGAGCGACTCTGCGGAAGATTTTACAAACAAGGTTATAACAAGCTGCAATATAATTTACATTGTTTTTTGTCACTTTGTATAATAAAATCTACATTCATCAAATAAACTATATTAAATTACATTAGGTGAAAGATCAAATCCTAAAGATTCAAGTTTAAATCTGTTCGTTTAGTAATTGTCTCTATTATCTTTTTCACTCTTTTATTATACTTTTTACAAAATTTCTTTAAAAAGATTAATTGATATAATTAAAATGAGATTAATAGTCTCTTTTTTCAGATATGTGTAATCTCGCTGTGGACTCTGGACCATGCAGAGGTGCTTTCCGCAAATATTATTATGAACCAGGTTTACGTGCCTGTCGTGAATTCATTTACGGTGGATGCGACGGCAACGCTAACAGGTTCAGTACAATTTCTGAATGCGAGTCTATTTGCATACATCATGAAGAGCCTGTACCTCCCGGAAATGATACCAGTATTTTAAATTTATGTGCGTATATTTATTTCCTATATTTGTTTCCTTCTAAACAATATATTTTCAACAAGCTGTTAATTTTCGTAATTATATCTTTGTTGAATTTATATACCACTTCAAATTAGAATAGATAGATTGTATAATAGCCTATATAACAATGATAACAGCGATCTGTAAAGAACCAGTTGATAGTGGATCTTGCACGTCCGGTGCCACAAAGCGATTCTATTTCGATGAGGAACGCCAAACGTGCCGGGCGTTTATTTATACCGGATGTGGTGGCAATCGCAACAGATTCAAAACATTCGAATCTTGCATTAACACTTGCCTTAGGAGTAAGTTTAGGATAAAAGCTTACTTTTTTTCTATTATTGCAGATATTGTCATTCAGCTGTACTACATTGCATAGCAATTGCTTTCATAAACATATACATTTACATACAATTTCTATTTTCTTATGCATTTCTATATACATATGTATAAAAACTTTACTCGCTTTTTCGGCAATTTTGTTTTCTCTATCTCTCAATTCTTTCATTAACACATAATTAAAATGTACTCTCTTGTATTCTAATTAAAATATATTTGAAAATTTAAATATTAAAAAATTCTTCCGTTATAATAATTAAATTTATAACCAAATATAAACGTGAAGATAACATTATACATATCTCCACATTTAAGTCAATTTTTCTTGTATTATACAAAATACAATTGCAAATAAGACATAATTTTTAATAATTTTTATGTATCTGATGACATACTTGTACAATGCAAATTGAAAAATTGGAAAAGTTCTTTTTTTAAATATACGAAAACCTAAAATATTGCTCTGCTTCTTTTCTTCATTGGATACTATAATCATATTTTTGTGCAACAAGTGTCAATAGCTTTTCTTCCTTTATGTTAGAGTTATTCTTGCAGCTCGAAAAGATAAAATTTTTTAATTTCTTATAATTATAGCGAGTAACGAAATTGATGTGGATTCGAAGGATACGAAAGATCAATGTGCGGAGGCCAAGGAAGAGTGTAATATTATCCGTTGTCCGTACGGTAAGGAACAATACGTGGATTCGCAGGATTGCGAACGCTGTCGTTGTGTTGATCCTTGTAGAACAAAGATCTGTCCTGAAAGTACTAGGTGCGCCATTACGCTATTCGCTACGCAAGATGGCACAGAATACAAAGGCGTTTGTCAATCGAGTAAGCAATTTATCTTAGAATTTTTAATTTATTTCTAAATTTTGTTTGCGAGTTATATATTAATTATTAAATAATTCTTTATACGGTCGTAATACTTATAATATATACCTATATTTTTGAGAAACAAATTTTATTTGCGTAATAAGCAACATATGAACAGCGGCGCACGCATGTTAAATAACTTTTTTAAAAATTAGAGAGAGAAAGAGAAAAAGAATGAAAGACAGTTAAATTGTTAGTATCACTTGTATATAGAGAAGTATATTTAAAAAAATATAAAAATATATACTTTCGTATTTAACTTAGTCATCTCCCTACGAATTTGTCTGTAAATAAATATGTGTTTGCATGCGTGTGCGTATGTGTGTGTGCGCGCTCGCTCGTGTAGATATATATATATATATATGTGTGTGTGTGTATGTGTATAACATTGCAGTTGTTAAACCCGGTCGTTGCCCAAAAGTATCCAATAGCACAAGATGTGAACAAGAATGCGTCACGGATGCGGACTGTCCTGGAGAATGGAAATGCTGTAACAGTGGTTGTGGCACGTCCTGTCTGGAACCCGTACTAGAAGAACTTTTGACAACAACATCACGGTCTACTGTTATCCCGCCACAATATGGTGAAGCTGCGATGATTCAACAATCCGAAGAACCTCATGTCAGCGCACAAGAAGGTGGTTATGTTACATTGAAATGCGTGGCACTAGGAACTCCCAGACCAATTATCACATGGAGAAAGGATACTACATTGGTAAATTATGTTACTGTGTATTTCGAATGCGCGAAACAAATAGTTTATACATAAGCATAATTAAATAATTATCTTTTGAAGAATTTAAGAATATTTTGTAAATATCGATTTTAGATTGGACCTTCAGAGAAAAGACGACGTATACTACTTAATGGATCTCTCCAGATTATTAATTTATATACTTACGATAGAGGCATTTATGTGTGTACCGCTGATAATGGTTTAGGACCACCGGTAAGGGCGGAGTATCAATTAGACGTCACAGGTACATAAAAAATCCATTTATTTTGCAAAGAGTGATCTTTGCTCAATATTAATTTTCGGCAGAAAATTTTCCTAAATTTCATTATAAACCAATTTGGGGGGATTATTCATTATAAAGGTCTTATTATCCTTATGAAATGCATTCGAATATTAGAATAACATAGATTTATCTATTTTCACTTAATGCTAATCAAATACGTTTACTAATAGATATTGATTGTGGATTTACGTTTTAGAGAAATGCATTTGGACTGGCATGAAATAAAATGAACTTAATAATGTCCTGTAGTATTAGTTATATACATTGAACGTCATTTAATTTACGATTTTCATGGTGATGGTGCAATTAACATTTCTAAGCATTTTGCATGCCTCTTTTCTTGCATTCTTTAGAACCAAGTGAACTTCCCGTCGCTATTATCGGAGAGCCCGATACTCGTATAACGGTGACGATGAACTCGCCAATAACTCTGCATTGTTATGCCATGGGATGGCCAAGGCCATTTGTCACTTGGTGGCGTGGCGATCAAATGTTACCTCTATTTTCGGACAATTACGAGCAAGACACCGATTATACTCTTTTGATACGCTCGGTAACTCTAACCAGCCTCGGTGTTTACACTTGTCAGGCGTTTAATGGCATCGGCACACCGGCCTCTTGGTCGACGACCTTGCAAGCAATCGGACCTGTCTACAATGTTAAATCTGAACATGAAGAGTACACCAAATATCTTGTCCAACCACCGAAGAGACCCACTACTGAAAAACCACAGTATCCTTACAGACCTACCAGAACGCAATCTCCGGAACATCAAACTTATGCTCCCGTCTATTCCTCGAAACCACCTCACATCCCTCGTGTCGTTCCTCTTGAAATCACTACCACTGAGCCCGGTAACGCTAAGTTCAAAGGTGAGATTAAGTGATAAGGCTAAGACTTATTATGTGTTTTTATTAGCTAATACATTACACCAACGATTGTAATTAAATTAATTTATTGCTTCTCTTTTAGAAATGTATCGCTTTAGATTTCCCGTAAAGTTTTCACGTGCATGGATGAAAGACTTATTTTTCATTGTATCTTTCAAATAAAGTTTCCTTAAAATGTCCTACTTCGCGCTACTGCGGGTCACAATAACTGTATGATGTAATTAAATTCTTCTTGATTAATTTCTTTCTTTTGCATGCACACTTAATATAAAAATTTACATTGCATTGTATTATAAGGCTGAAGTTGCGTTAAGACAACTTGCTTATTGACTGTTTCACGTGTATTCTAAAAATTTAATACGATTAACACAATATAATATAAATCTCTGTTGTTACAAGAAAATGAAAACGATGTAAGCGTGTGTTTCAAAGAAAAACTTTATACATTATTTTATCGGAAAAAAAAAAAAAAATTTCTTAATATATTTATTGAATCAAGCTTTATCTCTTTAGGAATATTAATAAATCTTATTTTATCAATCACACAGTGCCGGTCAAAGTCAATGTTTCGGCAGGACAATCACAATTCCCTGAAGGCAGTGATATAAGCATCGCTTGCATCGTCGACGGTTATCCGATTCCACGTGTACTTTGGTATAAGGACGATGAACTTATTCGAACCAGTAATCGAATAAAGATATCTGGTAAAATCATAAGTCATAATGTGTGTCGATACGTTTTTATAAAAATAAGCGACCTGTCTCTTTGCAAATATATTACAAATCAAATTTCCTCTCTATAACAAAATAGTAATAGAAAAAAATGAATGATAATAATATAAATTATATTATCTATATATTTTTATTTTCAGAACTCAATCGACTTATCATTAGCGATGCAAATCGGGAGGACTCTGGCCGATATCGATGCGAAGCGGCCAATGAATTCTCTTCGAATTCTGATAATGTTGATATACGAGTAGCTGGTGAGTGATTCTAATTCACACACATTTCAATATATATTATACATACTTTATATATTCCTCCATGCAAACAATTCAATATACATTTCATTAATATGATTGATTTTTTTCAGGTATCTTTATTCATCCCCATTGCCAGGATAACACGTTTTTCGCCAACTGTGAACTTATTGTTGCAGCCAAGTATTGTACACACAAGTACTATGCAAAGTTTTGCTGCCGATCGTGCACAGAGGCCGGCCAGTTACCAGCGAGAGGACCTCATATCGATAATTCGAGAAGAAGAAGAAAGAGATTTATTCCGCAAATGCTTGTATAAGATACCAAATTGACTTTTCGATATTTCCGACACACGTGATAGCACACGTAGGTGAATGCTAAATATCGATTCTGGATCGTAGTCGCGGCGGGATTCGCAATAGAAAAAAAAATGAGAAAAAATTGCGCGTACCTGCCTTGAAGTATCGGACGTGCCGGATAATCGATTTGTTAAATCACTGCCAAAGGCTTAGAGCATTTATACATGGATATAATGTATGTATACGATATATATATATATATATATATGTATATCCATATCTAAAACGTGCGAAACTGACATCACGTACGATTCGGCTTGCACGATCTCGTTCTTTGTTTATCCATGTATATACGATCTAATGCGCTGAATCCTAGTCCGATGAAGCCATATTAGGCGGGGTAATTAACTACTTGTTCTTAAGAGACAAGTAGAAACGTCGCAATCGCACGTGTATCTTAATTCTAAATGACATCCTATATTGTTAAAGTAACTAATGTCGACTGCAGACTAAGCGCGCAATTTCACGGATCGTATTATCGAATATGCAGGAAACTGTTTTCAAATGGTGTTCTTTTAAATTTTTAAGTATGTATATATATGTATATATATATATACACACTATATATATATTTTTTTTTTGTGTCATAATAACTATACTTCAGATTAATTGTAGAATAATTATGATAACTCAGCAGCGTAATAACGTGCGATTTTTGAAACATTTTTTTCTGAAATCACTAGCAAAACCTTTAGACAATTCCTGCACAATCTTGGAAATATAATCTGAAGAGTGTATATCATGTGAGACGATACACGTATGTACCATTCCTTTCCACGCAGCATATAGGCCGGGTTAGTGCGCATGCTATGATGAAACGATATACAAAATAAAGTTTACTTACATGGTACATTATGTAACAATAAGTTGAGTGAAGACCTTCTTTATTATTGGATACGTTATACTGCGTAATTAAAAATGGAATCTGTATCTATATATTTGTATTAATATGTGTATGCACTCATATCATGTTGTACAATATAAATAGTTTATTATGTAATGTGTCATTTATAATGATACTGTTATTACTCGGTTCTTACACTCGTATATCATAATGACTCCAAGATAACTTCGTTATCATCCGTTATCTCACATCACGCGCGCGCGCACACGGAAGCACATTGTCCATATATCATATATGTATGTATGCACGCATCATTGTTTTCTTTAAGAAAAGAGCGTTTTAACGTCTTAGTAATATCAGTATTAAATGGGTGCTTTCCAATTACTTAACACATCTTAACACAAACGTACATAGGGATGCATAAAGTGTAGCATTGTGCATGATTTAATTAAAATAGAATGTGGACGTAATCGTGTACGATTTCGACATGTTTCGGATAGAGTTAGATTAAATGTAGCTTTTTCTGCATATATTGAATGATAAAAGCAACAGTACCCCGACCATTCAACGTCCTTCAATTTATAACCGTGTGAGTTAGTAATATGCAATTGTCACTAAAAAACATATAGTGCAGTGAGTTTTAACCCGAGTCGGATCTATGACGTCACATGCTCTACTTCAATTTCTGATTAGAGGTTTTGATATTTTCTCGTGTCAAACATAAAAGTAAATCTATTGCATTCAAAAACGCTAATAGCTTACAATGGCTTACATGATAGCAGGCTAGTAGCTGAGTGTAGTGTTGTGTTGATGTTTACGGCAATTGAAACGCAACGTAAATAAACACAATTAAATATGTCGTCATGTGCACGAAAGTGACTAATGATTTTTCAATTGAAAAGCACCCATCTCCATGTCTATTAAAGATAATGACTAAACAGGAAGTCGATTGTATATTTTAAAATGAAGTAAAAATTACAAAAGTGAGCAAATTTACTAGATATTGACTAATTAAATTATTAATATTCTAATGAAAATTTGTTCAGTTTTGTAATTTTCATCTCATTTTTTGGGATACACAATCGATCTCCAAAACTTTAAAACTTGTATTCAATTGAGAATTTCAATTTTTTATCTTTTTCAAAAATGAAAAAAATTTTAGATGAACATATATAATTTTGATTTAATGTACATTTATAAGAACTTTATAATATCTCTCCGAAAATATAATTTAGATTATATATACTGAAAGTTTATCCATTGAACTTGAGATTAACTGTCCATTTGAAATCAGGATCGATAAGAGATAACTTTTTTTAAAGAATAAAACATTACGTTTTTTACCAAACATATTTTTAATGCTTCGTACATGCTTTAAACAGTATTATAGAAAAACATTAAAAACATCAATTAAACATATTTTAAACATTTAAAAAATTATTAAATTGTTAGTCAATTTAACTCGTGATATTACTGTGGTAGTTTAGTAGAGCTTGTATTTCAAGTCTAAAAAATTGTTTGGCGCACAGTTAAAAAGATTACATACGTAGTATATAAATTCAAATGCAGTTATAGTATAGAGGCACCCAAGATCTAGCTAGATCATTAAGGCTTGTTTCTCATTGGTTTTATTTTTTACAGTCCTATAAGATTTAATGTTGTATATTTTAAACAGTTTAAAACATGTTTAAAGTATGATTTTTACCAACTCTGTGAAATTGTATTATCTATTAAAAAAAAATTAAATTGTGCGTCGCACACATTGCAGCGTTCATTTGCGTAATAGGTATACACATGTACAGTCAATCTTCTATTTTATCAAATAATCAGCTTCTTCTATTTTATTAAATAATCGGCTGTCGCATTCGTATGAATATTTGTTGCACGTAACGTTTGTTTCTGAAACATTTTATTCATAATTATTAATTACATACCATTTACTATCTTCATATATATATATATATGTGTGCATTATTATTCATAATGTAGATCATTGAAATATATATTGATTATAAAATTAACAATGATAAAGATAAAATGGAAAAAAGAAAGATATTAAAACGCATAATATACGTATCGTAAATGTAAATCACGAATCGAGATTGTTACCGATCAGAATCGACATATCGTAAAACTTTAGAACAACTTCTGATTATTCCATATTTACACAGATCCAGTCGCTTTAAAATACAGTGCCTTATTAGATGATCTTCGAAAGGATCATTGGGAAAAGAGTGCTGAATACACACGATGTATTTCTTTCTAAGATAATAATGTCTGGTTGTAGTTGTCATAATGAAACAAAATATAAATATTAAATTCATTTATAGAAGATATTCATTCAATCGCTAACAAGAATATATCGATGAAAATATTAAGTACTCTTCTCCTTTAAATATGATCAAAAGACACCGTTATATAGCGAAAAGTATATATCACTTAGCATACGTAGTGTTCCACTTAGTTCGATAAAGTTTTCATTCTAGTAATTATATTGTATTTAAGTAATCGACGTAGATCAATTGTTCCCGTAAATCCGGAATTAATTACAGAGAAAAGAACGAATGAAAAACGAAAACGCGGGAAAAGATAAAATTGCGTGGAAAATAGTAAAACATATCTCCTGTAGACGTGGGTGCATTAATACTTATGGCGGGATTCTCTAACGTTTTAGCGATAATTGTCACTATATCGTTAGCTAGCGACAGCGAAGGCAAGAACAATCCTGGAAAAAAGCGCGACTCTCATTGATTGTCGTTAGTTAGCAATAACGATAATATCGTCGATGAGCGTGTCCCGATATTCGCTGCTAGTAAGTTAAAAATCTATAATGTATTATTTTTGTAATGTATACTATAGCTTTTTAGTACTGGTAGTGCATATAATGCAGCCGATATAAGACGCGCGTTAGAAAATTACGTTACTACAGTATTAAAGCGACCTATTTTAAATAATTATTTACATCATACGATTTGAGATGTTATATAACCTTTGAACACATGCTCTGTATTTTATGTGTAGATATCATCTACATCATTTTCATACACATCTTTTGATCGATCCATCGTTAATTCCATATTGTCCAATTATGTATGAAAAGATGACATATTTGTACATATAGTAACTATAACCGATGTACATTTAATTACGATCATGAATTTGATTTAATATCATTGAAACCGTGATTCTTACGATTATTTGTGTTGAAATTTATCTCGCGCGTCATAACGTTGGCTGATGATGGTTCGATCATGGCGGAATACCGCCATGGTTATATTGATAATGATTCGCTATTTTCTCGACAGGAGAGACTGTGGAGACTTCTAGTTGAAGACAAATTATTTTATTCTGAAATTACGTCTAAAATACTTACAAACTCAGATCACGTTTCAATTACGATATTCATAATCAGGAAATACTCGTATACTAAACGATTTTTTAGCAACAAACAAAATAAAAATTTGTTCTGATATTTCATCCAATGTGTATTATATAGTGCAGTTGAGGTGTATGTACATACATAAATGTACTACACCGTAAATAAGAAGCATATATCACTTTATTTATTATAATATTTAAGAATAAAATTACAAAACATGGTTCTTTAGAGGCTTCATAGCTTCCTAAAATATATGCCAACACGCAAGTCTCTCTCTCTCTCACACACACACACACACACACACACATCGCGCGCGCGTCAAAGCATTTCTTCTACGAGACAATACAAGGTGTTTAACAATTAATGAAAAAACTCTCGCATAGCGACAAAATGGATTAAACTAAGTAAAAAAAATCTACTATTACGCAAAATTTTCGCAATAGTAACGAGATATTAATTTCTAAAAATCGCCGAATAAGCGTGTATCCGCCTACTCAATCGTTAACTATTGCGGAAATTGCAAAATAATAGAGAACTGAATTTAGTTTGTTATACTTGTATACGAGCGATAGTTATATAATGAGATATTAATTAATAAAAATTTTCGAATATAAACGCATGTCTGCCTGTTCGACCGCAAATATTACAAAATGGTAGAAAACTTTTTCTACTCGGCTTACAATTAGTCCATTCTGCCGTTATGTGAAATTTTTTTCATTAATTGTCAGACATCCTGTATATGATAGAGTCTGATAGAATACAGATATATGTAGCTGCATCATAAATGAGATGTAAATGAGTTGGTTTGTCACTCCTGTTGATCTGTAAGTGTGTCGCATCTCATTTTCTATCTTAATCTTGCAATTTTGTCACGATATTTCAATACGATCGATACGAAATGTTGACATAAAACTTTACTTTTCTGACATATGGTATGTACAAGAATTTATCAACATAACCATGATTTATACCTCTCATACATATTACATCGATAGAAGTATTATTATATATAGAGAGAGTTCATCACACAGTGCTACCATCTAATCTTAACGATTAGATTAATGTAACTGTAATTATAAATATTGTAGGTAATAATCATATACGTATATGTATACAGGGTGAGTCGGGAGGATCGCACCAAACTCCAGGAGTGTATTGTACATGTGAAAATAATAAAAAAAAACTCAAATGTTGTTATCCGATTCTCCTTTGTTTTTAAGTTATAGCGTTATTACAAAATTTCCTATCATAACATTCCTATAAGTTTTCAAAAATACAATGTCAAGTCAATGTCAGTGTTATTCTTGAGAACCGCCTCACAGGAGAGCATTACTTCAATTTTTTACTAAATGAATTACAAGATCTACTAGAGGACCTTCCTCTAAACATCAGAATGCAAATGTATTATCAGCACGATGGAGCTCCTGCACATTTCGCTCGTCAGGTCAGGCAACATTTGGACGAAAGGTTTCCAGGGCGTTGGATTGGTCGCGGAGGTCCTACTAGTTGGCCTCCACGATCTCCAGACCTCACACCATTAGACTATTGTTTATGGGGCTGGTTCAAAGATGAAGTATACAAAGTTAAAGTCGACACTCGGGATGCACTAATTCAACGCATTAGAAATACTGCAGGCGATATCAAACAAAGACATGCAGCAATCAAGAGAGCAACTGGTGCTCTTTTTAGACGAAGCAGAAAATGTTTGGAGGCCAATGGTGGTATTTTTGAAAACCTATTACAGGAACGCTATTAATTAAAATGTAATCAATGTTACGATAAGAAATTTTGTAATAACGCTATAACTTGAAAACAAAGGAAAATCGGATAACAACATTTGAGTTTTTTTTTATTATTTTTACATGTACAATACACTCCTGGAGTTTGGTGCGATCCTCCCGACTCACCCTGTATATATATGACATATAGTATATATATTATATATAATTTAATAAGTATATAAAAGTAGATATAAGTATAGTAGAGAATGTCATTATACATCTTATACAATTATTGCATGGACAATAATAATGTATATATAAAGTCTTTAAATATATATGATTACACTGTCAGAATAATTATTATTTTACGATAACAAAAAACCGATCAACGAGATCGCATTTCGATGAAACCAAATTTTTCTTCTAATTATTAGCGATAACGGTTTCTCGGTAAAATCAATTAATATATAAGTAATTTTATATATATTAGTATAACAAAGAATTACTAATCTAACTAAGAATCTAAAATATCGTACTTATTCCGAATCAAACAGTAATTAAAACATATCTACATAATATATAATCTACTCTTGAGACTCTATCACAGGTGCTCTCTTATATATAAACTATGCATTTCGCGGGTTTTCTCCGTGTCTGAATCCATTCTTAGAATGTCAATGTTTCGTGAACATTCATTGTAGTTCACTTCATCAGGAGTATCAGGCTGTTCCTCTTCTTCTAAGAATGACTTCGGACAAAGAGAAAACCTACAAAATGCATATAGTTTATATAAGGACATATCTATATATAAAATCAAATTTTTGTTGATCCATTGCGTAAATTCGGCACGCGACTAGGACGCATTAAAAAACGCTTGTATTGTTCCTCAGCTCTGACAGTTTTCTCTATACGTTCCGTAGCAATGCGTTCAATTTCTGCAAATAACTCACTGTGTACGTCTATGCATTGACGAAAATCTTTACGATCTAATCGATACACCTCACAAACTTCGATTGCGACAACACTAGCTACTCTTCTCTGATCCGCCACTAAGAGTGCAACTTCGCCGAAATGGGCACCGTCATTTAAATGACACATCTCAAAATAACAGAGAGTAAATTTCTTTTTCACAATACAAGTATATGTAAATGAACCCAATAATGTATATTTTTTAAAAAACTAACTTCCTTTCCAGTTGGTGTTAAAACCGCAACAGTCCCAGAGGATAAAAAGAACATACAATCGCCCTGAGCACCAGCTTTAATGATTACGTCATTTTGCAAATATAACTCGAATTTTAAGTTCTTCACTATTGATTGTAGAACATTTCGTGGTAAATTCTTAAAAATTGCCACGTTTTCGATCAATCGTCGACAAGACTGAAACGCAATCTCTTCTCGTAACGGTTCTGCAAAAAATCCAATACTTAATATCAGTATCAGAGCGCTCCTCGCCCTGATGAAGCAAACGACAAGGTTCACGAAACGTTGGCATTAGCAATGGATAAAAACACGGTGATAACCCACAAACCTTCTGGTATATGTTTAAAGATAATACCCGTGAAAATCTTAAAAGCATTACCAACACTTAATAATTTCAATATACATGTATTAGAGAATTTTATTGTATATTCTGTTATGCTCTATTTTATTCTTTTTCTCTCTTTATAATATTTTATTAACCTGTCAAATCTGATAAAATCCGTTTACTGCGAAAGTAGGTGTTTTTGAAACGATAATGATAATAAGCTAAGAGACGTTTCTTCATATGCGATAATAATTGCTTTTGTCTTGTGTATGCTTTGACTTGATCTATTAACTCTTGAAATTTCGATTCGGATGATTTTCTCTCAGCTTTGATACGAAGAAACATAACTGAAAGACACGTGCATCAACTACATTAATATCCAAAAGAATTTTGTACAACTTCTGATAAAGATGTAGATGTTACTTAATATCTTACTCAACATGTAGCATACGATGATTCTGCCGATAATCATAAGAATACTATTAAAAATGAGAGGGCCATCTGTATTTGGCACGAACAGACCATAGCCACTTGATAATATATTTTCCAATACAATAAATGCAGCGTTCTTGAATTTGAATTTGAGACTGTCGTCTTCCAATTTCATCATCCAACAATCCTCGCATTCCTTTTGACACACATTACAAAATATAAAATTTTAATAAATGTATCTTTAAAAAATATCGAAAAATACGTAAAAATGTTCACGTGGATCAATATTGTGAATGTGCTTACTGTCGGCGAAATGTTGACAAAGTACATCAGTAAAATCGGTATTAAGTAACACAAACAAGAACACCAAAAGATTAAATATAATCCTAGCAATAAAGTAGTACATAATTCAAAGTAAAAGCTTTTTATTTCAAAATGCTGAAAAAAATATTGACGTGATATAACGTCGTATTATATCTTCTTTATTCACCATTATATTTAGAAAATAATTATGATAAAGACAGATTACCGTAAACAGATGATAAATGTTTGAGTTGAAAGTATAATAGCGTGCTAATTTTATGAGAGGCATGATATTAATTAAAGTAACAATATAATAAGGATTATTTCCCGGCAATCTTCGCCATTGCAGTGTCATATAATCAAACGGAAAAGACGACAGCACATCCGGCACGAGAAATCCTTTTAGATAGAATCTACGAAGAACATGTATTTAGCATTGGACACAAATTAATAAAAATAATAAAAATAAGCAAAAATGTTAATAAAGTATTAGATATGATATCTTACATAAATATCTTAATAGGTTTCAATTCAACAGACATGGTTTTCTTGTTATAATATCCCGTAATACAATTTAGCATTATATCTATCCAACAGATCGCGTAAATTGGAATATTCACTATATCCAGACCGATTGTTTCATAATCCATTGTGACGAAGCAAATCATAAAAGGAATTGTAAAGAAAGCGATAAAGAATATTGCCATCATCAAGGTATCCCACATTAATCTGTGAATTTTCTTAGAAATAAAACGACATGTTTTATTGTAGAAGGAAAAGTAAAATTGTGCGTTTAGTAAAATTGTTTAAATAACTCTTTTTACGTTCAAAACGTGCCTAGCGTAACTGAATGGATGTATTATCCACCAATATTTAGATCCAGTATGCCTTATTTTTTCAGCAATCATTGTGGCCGTGCTGTCCATATGAAATCTGCATTTTGGAGTGTATTTGTTGATACCGCACAATGTAGTCCACACATTTTTGAAAGTCAGTGGTTTTGTAAAAGAAAACTTGTTTTCTTTTTTTAAAGACAATTCACATATATGTTCAATCATTACTTTGATAACTTAAAGATAAAATAACTTTTCATTATCAATAAAATGGCATGTAAGGTTAAACGATTTCATAATATTTGAGTAATATTGCAATTGTTATGTCCAAAGAGAAAATTTCTATTGTTTTTCGAAAATTATCGATTATATTTTATTTGTAATCTTCGTAATTTTTAATTTAAAGATTTTACTTCAATGTATCTTTATAAAGATTGAATAAATGTATTATTAATTATTTATTCCGCGCACATATAATAGAAGAATATATATATATATATATATTATAAAACCTATATATTTAAAATAGAAACGTTATAATTTAACAAATCTATTACTGTTTGCTATGTTTTCATTTTCCTTATTTCAATTTTATTGGAATTTTCTTCACAGATGCTGTAAATATTATAATATATAAGACTATATATTATACAAACAGGTCTAAAGAGAAATAATTACTATAACACAGTTAGTAAAAATGATTATTAAATGGTAGATAAACAATTATCAAAAATGTATTTATAATATATTTACGTTAAAAAATATATAACTATTACACACATGTAAGCTATACACATATACATATATGAGAGGATAACTATTCAGAAAATAAATGTATGTACATCTAGTTTTCTGACTTTATACACTGTCATGGGCTTCATCGGATTTCTGATGAATTGTGCACCGGAATTCTCAAGAATGATTTTACACCATCAAATTCATCGGACTACATCGGATTTTTGATAGATATGTTGTATACTGAAATTCAAAAGTATATATGGACGTGGTTACCCCCTCGCATATATACATATATCTCACATAATACATATAATATTACAATAGATACATTATACATATATCTATATCGTTTAAAGTGGCTCGTCTATTCTATAGTATATAAATTATGTGCACTTTTAAATACTGTACAGTGCACATATTGCAATGGGTTCCGGCAAGAATCGGATTTCACCAACATTACCAATATACATACATATATATTTTAGCTTAAATTTATTCTCAAGAAATAAACTTTCGAAAATTATTATTACGTATATTTTTTGTAACTTGAGCGCATACACGGGATCATAACAATTCTGACAACGATTCTTCCAATTAATCAACTAAAGCATCACTCAAATATTTTATCTATATATGTAATTAAACGCATATTTTATTTCTCAACTTTAGCGCGAGTCATTGGAAAATAAAATATATAATAAATAAAAAGAATGCCACTTTCACTTAATAGATTTAATTATTAATACACAATTAAACAATAAACTTAATTAAACAATAAAGACGCAACTAAACAATAAAAACTCAAAGACTTACTGAAGCAATAACTAGCAATTACGTCAGATTTAGTTTAGGCTATCAGTCTTTCCGGCTCGCTTTCCGGATATTTTCTTGCATTCTTTATTTTATTTTGTAAACATCTTTAAAAAATATGAGAGTTTTACGATACATCGCTATATATATAGTACATACATAGCTCTGATTTAGGATAGATGTGAAATTATTCGAAATGAATTCCGCTCGAAATTATTCAATTATTCCATAGATTTCTATTGTATTTTCTAGAAAAAACGAGACAATAATTCCTATCGAAATCCATTCCGACTCTATTCCATTACAAGTGCCCGAATTATAAATGATCACGTCGAATTCCTCTTGAGGCAAAATTTCTTTACAAATATAAACGGGATTATATATGTATATAATACGTCGTTGAGGCTCAATATTTACAAATAAGAATATTGTTCTATCATTTATACTCATATACGTTGTGTATATTGTATATAGCCTTTGCGACATAATATGATCTTGTTAAAACTAAAAGTTCTGAAATATAAAGTATAGCGCACGAAACATATCACTTATTTTATTGAAACTATACTTGTGAAATATCGTTTTTTTTTTTTTAACAATGTAAACAAATTCTGTACTTCGTGGAAGTTCTACTGGGTATGGTATCAGACTTGAATAGAGGTAATGACGCCAATTTGTGAAATAGTGGACAACGGATAGCTGACTTGAAAAATGTTAACTACCAAGTAAAAGTTATATTGTTATTTGTGGAAATAAATAATGTGATAGACTCAGAGACAGACGTTTCCATCATATGCCATCGTGTAGTTGTATTATGCTGAAGATTTGTCGAAAAGTAGTAATAAGTCAAGGACGCATCTCCAAGAAGTTGTGAGCTAAACGGTCAGTTCACGTTGAATGTTATTATATCCATTACAATTTTTCAAGATTTGATAATTCATTTTATAAAATATGTACATTATATAATTCTATACTAATTTTATTAAAAACAAATGTGTGTTATGTAAAGTAAGTGGTATCATTATGTGCCATCCTGTATTTCAAAAGTTAATGTGTCTTTCTTCACTTCATCCAATTCCGACTCCTAATATTATACCTTACAGAATTTTCACAAAGTTTAGTCATACAGTCAGAACAATTAATACTCCACAAGTATTAATATACTGTGACATTCCGTTACTTTATATGCATTTAAATAATATAGTAAAAAGAAATGTATATATATTTCATTTAGAATGAGTTTAAATTTGCACAAAAATATTTCCTAATTGACGAATACAAGTCAATATAAAATAAAAAATAAAATTTTGTTAAATAAATAATAAACATATAACACAAAATTGCAGCCAAATCTGTTTGCATGAGAAAAAAAGTTGGTATTCAATTGCATGTTATGTACATATGTTAATCTTATTAATAACAAAAACCTTTAGATTATCGAAATGATCTATGCTTCTTCATTTCGCATACATATTACATTAATACAACATTAATAATATTACGATATATAAATGCGCCATCATCTTTTGAATAATCCGTGAACCGATAATTCGATCGTATAATATATAATATACATACAATCTTCTGAGGTTTTTTGAATTTCCACTTTTTAAGGATACAATATTCACAAAGATCACCACTTAAATATACGAATAATTTTTGTCATAATTTCACTTAACAAATTAAACGTAACACGTTGATTACGTACACGTCACCCATGCGTCAAAAAACGACACATGCAGTTGAGCAACATTAATTATCAAAATGCATCAACTTGTTTAGGGACACGGATTGATATATAACGTACCAACAAATGCAGTAGGAACACATTATTCAAGCGTCCCTCTTCAGATTTTAGCCAGGATTCGGACAACGATCAACAATCAGAGTTCTAATTATCAAACATCAAATATTTCTTTAAATGGCAGTTTTTAAAACTTTACTTTCCACACAGAATGTGAAAATCTTTACGGAAAGTTGTAAATTGTTCTTCGTAGATGTATCACAGTGTGCGGTATTTCCTTGCGAGGAGTTTTGTGCGGGGAATTTTAAACATCAATACCGAGCAATTCTCGGCTATCGGCCTTCGAAAATCGGCGACGTAAACTGCGACGACGAAACTCCCTCCATCAGACGGACGCACGTTTTACCCGGAGACTGGCAGAAGTCGGGGGTGGCCGATATCCCTGATATCCGGAAGGATCCAATAGCTCGGAATTTGCTGGACCTAGACAAGTGCAAGAGCATACGCTCACACAATCGTCTGTGTCGTGTACGACAGGCACGTGACTGCCCAGAAGCTTTCCATTTACCGCCACAACCTCTCCGTCTAACGTCAAAACGTGATGCGAAGCCGATTGCAGTTCAGTGTCATCACGACGCGCCTCGCCAGAATCCCTAAAGTGATATTTCGCATTAATAATTTTTTCAAGTATCAGTAATATAATTTACATTCTGTTACGGAAAATGTATTTACGTCGTCATGAAGCGCAATACGAGCAAATTAATGCTGGCAGCGACTACAGCTAAACCAAACAGGATGAAGATTAAACTCAAAATCACATATCCAGGTTTATTGGAAAGTGCTTGATCATTCTGCAAAGTAATTCATTATTTATAAATCTTACTGCTTCTCTCGCTGACGATCAACCCCAAACGTTATTTACCTGAAGAGCGACATAGTCACCAAAACCTATAGTTGTAAGCGTCACAAAACAGTAATAAAAACTATCAAAATAGCTCCAACCCTCATATCTCGAAAACACTGCAGCACCTGTCGTAATAATTATACTTGAAAGTAAACCAGTCGCTAGCATGAGATTCATCTCTGTAGCTTCTGTTCTTTGACATCTGAGATAAGTCTTTGCTCTTCTAATCACGACCGATGCAAACTTGTTCAATCGCTCACCAATGCTTTGGAACATTACTAATCCTAAAGGAATTCCTACTACCGCGTATACCATGCAAAATGCCTTTCCGGTTTTAGTCACAGGAGTGGAATGGCCGTAACCTTAGAGAAACAAATTTTTACATACATTAAACTTATATTAAAATACTATTCTCTCTCTCTCTCTCTCTCTCTCTCTCTCTCTCTCTCTCTCTCTCT